GAGAATCTTAGTTTACCTTGGCAAATGAACTACATAAGCCTCATTAATCTTGCATAACAACTGTAGTAGATAAGACTTTAAAGCCCAGATTTCTACATTCCCTAGAACTAGTTCCTGTTTTGAAATGTGATGTGTTTCAAGAACCATTAATTAGCAGTTTTCCTTGAAAATGCACACGGGCTTATTCTAAGAACTTCTGCCTTCGTATTCAAGTATGGGTGTTCTTTAAATTATTAATTCCATAAATAATGTCGGTATTCCTACATAACTCTACTCAATTTTATTCTTAAATAATCCATACCTTTTTTTAAACACTAGGATTAGATATTTCACTCTTCTAAAGTTAGATATATGCAAATAGATGGATGCAATATGATACAGCAGGGGGTTACAAAATAGGCTTTGAATTCTTGCACTGTACATCGGACCTGCAGCAATTCCCAGGGCCAGCAGTCAGAATCAGAGCACAAGCCCATGGAAGGATGGACAGATCTCCTCTTCTGAACAGCTTTTCTTCTTATGTAAAGCAAAACTCATCAAGTAATTTCAATTCATAGAAGGGGCAAAGGAAGAGAGAAATAAAGAATGCAGCTGACCATGTACTTCAGCTGGGCACTCAGCTGGGTTTCCTGAAGCACAAAATTTCTCATTTATTTTATTTGTAGTATTTTGTCTTTGTTTGCCCCTAACCAAGCAGTTGTTATTTGCATAATTTGTGTGTGTATCTTAGCTGAAGTCTGTCCCATGGAAAAGAGGAAAGTAGCCAACTGTCCAAATTAGTTGGGGGCAGGCTCTTGATGAGTGAAGGGGATAGGATACAATATCAGTAACATGTAGAAAACTTCCTATCACATTAATTGCCATCAAAAAATATATGCAACACAAGGGAAATAACCAGCAACTGTTTAGGTCTTCTTCAGATATGCTCAGTAGCATTAGATAACTTTGACACTACGTATCCTTTTTAAGTTAGTGTAGGTGGTATTGCATTTTTTGTTTAGTTAAAGGAAGAATGTGATGCCTAGGGCTTTTATTTATATTTTGAGTGGGTTTATAACCTCAGTATTTGCTCAGTGAACTCAACTAAATAAAGGTAATGGGCCTCCTGTGCTGGCTGTCAGCCCTATGCACAGCAGTATGGCAGTAAGTACGGCTGTTATGGGGCTGCCAAGACCTGCTGCCGAGCAGGAGATGGGAACTGTGGCTCTCTGCTAAGCCTGCTCTACAAACTGGAGAGGACATTGAGATGTTTTTCACTTCTTTCTTGCCAGAAGGATGACTCAAAATCAAATTGTAAATATTTAGTCACAGCCTGGCTCATGGCCTGCTCAAGGCAAGATCATATTTGGCTTGTCAAAAACATTCTTCTAATTGTTTTAATTATCCTGAACAAAAACATAAACTGATTTTCTCTACTTACACTGTTACCGTAGTATAAATTTTATCTATTCCATGCTGATGCTGAGGAGTCATAGAGAAGGAATGCTGACAAGTAGGTAGAGCTTTGTGTATTCCTAACACTAAAGTCTCCGTATCTATCTGAAAGGCATTGATGGAAGGTAGTGGCTTGTTACCCATTTCTGTGTTAAAATTAAAATATCAGTTTATAAAGGTGCTTGGAGAAAAAAAAAAAAAAGGACTTCTATTACTCTAGAAAAAGCTTATGCTTCATACTGATCCCTGTGGTTGCTTTACATGGAACATAGCATAATGACTAATAATGATTAGATAAAAGGTTGGGCAAGTGTTTCTTCTGTGTTTCACTGGGTAGGTGTTCTACTAATTAAAAAATGACAGTTAAAAATAACTACCCACAATTTTTATTTTTTTTATATCTGATTTTTCAGAAAGTTCACCAAGTTTTGTCTTTGCTATGTCATAAATCAAATTTTAGCTCATCTTGTAAACAGAGATAAAATTGCCTTCCCAACATATTCCATGTTTTCCTGTGTAATTAACACCTCGTTCACAGTTGTGTCTGCCAGTCAAAGCCCTGTCTTCTTCTTCCTGACACTTCCTTGATACTTTGTTTAGACTGCTGAGATTTTAAGTGTCATCCTCAGGATACTTTAAAGAAGTCCAAACAGGAAAAGGAAGGTGCTTCAAGAAGTCAACACTGTAGATCATTATAACTCAGAGGGACTATTTTAAAAGTAAGGAGCAATTTATCTTTGTTTATTCCTTACATTGTTACCTCTCAGTCTGTTTTTCATACTTTCTAAGGGAAGTTTAGTGAGTTTTTTAAAGAAAGTCAGGGAATATTAGTTTCCAAATGTATTTCTGTAGTAGATATCAGTCCAAAAGTACAGATCTAGCTAACTACAGCCCCCTTTCCTTGTGCATGTGTGTCTTTCCTGGCACTGTGCCTTCTGTCAGGCCAGACAAGGTTCTCAGTTGCTCAGTGAACTGCATCGGTCAACTGACCAGTCAAAGAGTACTCCACTTTTTTTGTAGGCCATCCTTAGCCCAGATGAGTTTCCATCTCTGGCTTTTCCCAGGGCTGTATGGACTGTGTTAGCAGCACAGCAGAGGACATGCTGGGGGTGCGTAATAAGGGCAGTATAGCCATAATCCCAGTTTACACACCTACTACTGTATTTTGGTTCTAAAAATTTATCCTGAACTGCCCCAGTTAAACCCCTGCATGTGCAAGTACTGGTGAGATTAAACAGCTCAGCGCATAGTGTATGTCTCAGCTAGTTAAGACCCAGGAATTTGGCACTCCAAATATGCTGAGGTATTTTTTTTTTCCACACTGCCCTTAAAACACAGTGACTGATGGAGGACCTTTATAAAACCGTGGTGGTAGTGTACATGCTATGTGGCTATTTGTTCATTCTTCAACTTGAAGGGCTTCAAATTCCTCAGGAGAGTCCCTGGCTTCTAGGCAAGAGGTTACCCTGGTGACCTGCAGGTGTGAGGAAGACAGGGTTTTCTGACCAGGGGAGAGCCATAACCCCTCCTTGTGCAAGACCCAGAAGGATCACTCTGCATGTAGTCATGGTGTGACACAAAATGGACTTTTATTAAACATGGATGCCGGCTTATAAAGGGAGAGCAGGGACCTTTCTGGAAAGAAGGGTGAAGACTGGGAGGACAGGAGTGGCCAATCACAGCAACAAGGGGTGGAATTATTTAAACATGAACAAATGGGAAACTGTCTCTGGGGAGAACTGCTGAAGCAGGGTAGAATGAATAAGGAAAGGGCTTAGAGGGAACCAATAGGAGAAAGGGTAACAGGGGTACAGTGAAGGAAATTGTACACCTTATAATAAGGCATATTATATTAACAATAAAACAATTACACAACTGAGTAAAGACACTGGGGAACAGATACTCTCGTAGTCATGATAGTCACATTCAGCGCATTACAGCGTAAGTACACTCCGATATATTTTCATCCTCTTCTGATCTCTCTTCACTAAGTTTCCTCCACCACTCATAGGATTCTCTTGGGGCACCTTCAACAGTTTTCCACTCTTACTGTCATCATCTTGTTCCCCTTAGCATCAAGATTAATGAAAGGCAGAGCATGAGAGTGGTTTCTTACAGATCAGGGATCTCACCTGGAAAAAGTGAAACTGGATTTTACTTTCTGTTCCTGAGATTACTTCTGCAGTTTGTGCGAGATCATTATTTAATAAAATACAGAAGCAGGCTTAGAAATAGGGACCACAGCTTACAGAAATACCCCTATGTGTAAATTGGGAACTGTCAGCAAGCATTTCAATTTTTTCACTTTTTAAGCCAAGTTTTCACCAGAACAACCCCCTAGAGCTTTACATTAATTTACACTTGCCATATACAAGGGAAAAATTTAGTCTTAATGGATATAATGCTTCTTTCTTTTCTTAGCCATCACACCTAGATATTAGTTGTTCTCACCTGTTGCTACTAAAAATGTGCATCAGATTTTGACTTGGCAATAAAGATGTAAATTCCTGTAAATTACTTCCATTTTTATGTTGATCTTCCTAAAAAAAAGCACGTGTGAAAACAGCAGTTGTTCAAGTAAACTCTGTACTAAAAAATTATAGTAGTTACATATGCATGTTTTTTTTAGAATCTTAGTGGAAAGTCTCCCTTAAGTAGACTTTTATGGACCTTACATTTTAGTGCAAAGGATTTGCATGTGCATTATATATACACAGATGGTAGTAATTGCACGAAGAAGGTGAATTGTTTTTGCAAATAAATCTCTGACTAGTGTGCTTGTTATCACATCCCAGGGAAGAAGGATATGGGTGTTTCTTAATTAGGTTATATTGTGTGAGGGAACACAATTCAGGATGGAACAGTTCCGGGCGTGGAGAGAAGTGTGCAGCGATTGGCAGGACTTTGTCGTGTGGACTTTGCTGTTATTATGTGGTTTCATTGTATTCACACTGCACAGTGCGCAGCCTGGACAAGCCCAGGCTTGTCATGAGTTTGCCCCCACTTCTCCCCCTTTTGCCGGTGTCCCTATGCTGGTTTGTCCCTCTGCTTGTTGGTCTCATGCTCCGCCCTATGTTCTGGCCCGTTCCGCTCCCGAGTGGATAAAAAGAGAGTGGGCACGCCTGAATAGAGAACTCTGCTTGCATCCTTCCTCGTGTCCCGTCCCCTCTTCAGACCACGACAATATTGCACATATGTACTTACTGTGCAGGTCAGACTGCTGGAGCACAGTGTAACATTCCAAGCTCTGGTATATTCAGACAAAATATAATTTCTTTACACCTCATCAAGGTGCTTTGTTAATATCCTTGTCAATGTGTACTCATATTTGAGACAAAGTTTTAAAATGTGACAGTAGATGTTACAGGGATGCAAATAGTTTGTCATAACTATTAAAAGCAATCCTAGAAGCAGTGACTGATACAGAGTATTCATTTTGGATGAGTTTTGATTTTTATGGGTTTTTCATATCAAGCAAGGCAATAAATGTTTTCTTAACATTCTTGTTCCGGATCAGTCCCTAGCCACAATATTTATAAATGTCTGTTCTAATTTTTTATTTCTAGGGAAGACGAGGCAAACCAGGTCTCCCAGGAAAACCGGGGCCACCAGGACCTCCTGTGAGTAACTAGTGAGAGGAATGGGAAATTTTCACTCTGTCCTCAGACTTTGTTAGCATTTTTGTAGCGGGTTCCTGAATATAACTATAATTGAAAATAATTGATCTATGTGTACTCTGCTCTACCTATCAAACAGCTACTATTGCTAGCCTTTTGATACAGCAAGTATAAAAGGACTGGGTCCACAATATGAGGGACTACCCAGGAGGAAAAAGAACAAGATGCAAACTTCAGCAGGGGAAGCAGAAATTGACATTTCAAAGAAAGACTGGCCATATATGCTAAATATGAATACTGTGCATTCATTTTCTTAGCAAAATGTGTGATGCTCTGTAGAAGAAGGGATAATTTCTGTCTCAGAGGGGTAATTTGAAAGATGAAGGACTGTGTGAAGCATGTGCCAATTGTCTGAATGGTGGGGAGGATTATACCCAGCGCTGGAATGAGCACTCAGCTGTAGTTCAAATTAGTTGACTGAAGAATTAAAAAGATTAAGAAATACATGGCTCTATTAAAGGATTTGCAATATGAAGAACTTAAAGGTTTAGCTCAGATCTAAGAGGTTTGGGATTTTATTTTTCTCCTTTACTTTTTTTTAAAGATAAATGATTTAAAATTCAAGTCATGCGTGGATGTATACTAGTCTTCAATAAATGCAGCTTTCCTTGGCTAGAGAAAGATTCGGTCATATTAATAAAATTCCCTGTATATTGTATTGTAAAAATGCTGTTGTACACAAATACAAAACAGCTGTTCATGGATTAAACTTCTGCTGCTTTACATTCTTAATATAAAACAAAGATTTCATAATTCCTTCTTCTACTTACCTAAAATAGGTAAAGGCTAGTAGTTTATGCATCTAAACATTTCATTCATATGCTTCAACCTCATCTTATTTCTAGAGAAGAGAATAATGCACTGCTGTGTGAGATGCAATGACTAAAATAAAATAGGTTTCATCCAACCTCATCTAAAACAAAAAGTGCATACATTTTATAAATACTCTTTCCTTGCAAAATGTGTTCAGAATGAGGAGTTGATGATGAAATTCGTTTATCCTGCATAAAACTACATAGATAAAAATTAGTCTCTTGCACGGTTGGGACTTCAGAATGCTGAAATGTTCCTGCAGACTGCAGGAGGCCGAACAGGAGAAAAGGAGTGATGCAGAATCTTTCTTAATACAAATGCCAAAAATAACCTTTAAAGGATAAAAAAGCAAACCATAGCAGAGGTCAATGTTAGACCTAATCTACTTAGCTTTTCATGAGCTGGTGAAAAGGTTTTTCTCCATTACAGATTTCTGCCATCATAGATTTGCTGGCAGGTCAGGCTTGTGAAGATTTATGATCCTTGACAGATATACTAAAAATCTTGAGTGGAAGCTAAATTGCGCTTCTATAACTGAGATATACTTCAGATTTTCTTACAGCAAATAGGAAACTCAACTTTGTCAGCATGGCAACATCCATACAAGGAACTCCGTATGAGTACTGTAGCCTAGTACTATGCACCAGAAAAGCATTCCTCAAGCAGTCATGGCCTAAATATTGGTTAAAAGTACTTGTTTCTGGTATAACTATCTTGATGCACTCCTTGCTTTGGGTACACCTATATCATCATCTTGTGTTCTTCTTCCAAGACTGAGAATACAGAGCATAGAAAAGGCATACTCTAAAAGCAGGAATGCCCACTAATGTGCATTGGCAGTATTGCCATGTTTGAAGTGCCACAGCTTGTACATACCAAAAAAACCTTCAACACAATCCATCATTCCCCCTCTCTTCTTGAAGGCTCAAACCATATTCAATTGTGCTATATTGTGCTTCCCTTTACCCCTTTTCTACTAATAGTAAACGACTTCTTCATGCACATGGATGTGCCTTTACTTTGGCCTTTCCAAAGCGCAACAGAACTGTCATACCTGCAGGATGCTGGTTGTCATAAGTTTGGCATACACAGGATACAAAATGGTTAACAGATTGACTGAACATGTGAAAATTAGACTCTCCAGGATAAACAAGTTTGGGGTTTGGTTGATGCTTCAAAAGCATATGAAATTTGTATTTGAGAAAAAGGAGATTCGGTCATTAATTATCAGGGTAGCTAAAGCACACACTGTGTGCTTGAAATTAATAAATTTACCTAATTTATTTATCAGTTTATGCCATGATGTTAAATATTTAATTTAGATATTAAAACATCCAGGTGCTTAGTAATGACCAAAACAAACAAAAAAAAAAGAAAACCAAAACCTGTGAGAAGGAAAGTTCTGCCTCTTTCAGGAAGAAGTTGGACAGGATACAATACTCAGGGGATTTATTTTAAAGGACAGTCCTAATAACAGTGTGTGCAGATAGGGATTTGTGTGGAAAAGATTGGTAGTAAAATTAAAGAAATCTGAAAGTTACAAAAATTGCAGTCAGCATACATGCTGTGCTTCACATGACAGCGTTATAAGGACACATTCTAACAGTCAAAAATCTACTTGTCGCATAGCAGAATTGAAGACTTTTCTAACCTTTTCTAAGTATCTCATCTTTTTGCTTTTTTTTTTCCTAACCTAATTGCTGGGGATTTTTTTTTTTTCAGTAAAATTGGTGCTTATAGTGAATTTCTAGTCCCTTAACATCATCTGCACATCTTTGGTTAAAAACCTGTGTTGGTGTCAGAAACGTAGATTGATTGGCAACTGGTAATTAAACTACTCAGTTAAAATGGGACTTCCTATGCAATTTCTTCCAGGTATCCTTTCTTTTGTGTCGTTTTCCCCTTATCCTCTCTTTTATGTATTTTTTTCCCCTTTGGAGCAAATCCTGTGCTCACAAAAGCCAAGGAGTCAATGAGGAGTTTTATTGATCAGTTATAAAAATATTTTTGTAAACCTACCCAGGTCTGTTCCCCTTTTGAGTATTTGTTTAAAGTCTATTAAATATTATAGACTTTTAAAGTGTTCTTTTATTCCCCTTCCTTTTCAGAATTCCTGGTATGCATCCTTGCTGTCTGATGTACTGTTCTGTTATTTCGGTACAGGAGAGCTGAGATGTGTGCTCACATAACTCTCACTCCAGCAGGTAGCAATTTGTGCTGAAGTCAGAAATCCAGACGGTTTAAGTTAAGCAGCAGCTCCCTCTAGTGCTTTTTGGCCCTTTCTCCACTTTGAAAGAGCCTGGATAGCAGTTTAAACCTTCTGTCTAATACACTGTTTGCTTCAGTCTCGGAAACATTGTGAAAATTGTGATTGTGAAATCAAAACCTCTGTACCCTTCAAATGTATTTTATATATTTGCTTGCTTCCATTTTCTTCTAGAGTCTTCTGAAAAAGAGTCTTTCACGTGCTGTTATCCTGCTCAACATGGCTCTTCACTGAAACTGAAATGCTGATTTTACGAAACAAAAAGAAATAATAATAGGATGCTGTGAGGTTTTAAGTACAGCATTTTGATCAGATTGCAGAACTGCACTGATTGCTCTCTTCTGCCATAGCTGCTAATAAAAAGACTACAGGACTTATAAACACAGAAAGGGTTCCCAACAGACTGTAGCTTGTTTTGAATTATGTATAATGGTTCTCTAGTTACCACACTTCTTTTCTTTTTTTTCTCACTACTTAAAAGCAAATGACAGAATCACAGAATGAGCAGGATTAGAAGGGACCACTGTGGGTTATGTGACAACCTCCCTGCTCGAGCAGAGTGTTCTTAGAGCATTTTGCACAGGATTGAGTCCAGATGGTTCTTGCATGTCTCCAGTGAGGGAAACTCCACAACATCTCTTAGCAATCTGTTCCAGTGCTCAGTCACCTGCACAGTAACGTGTGGAATGTATTTGAACTTAGTATTTATGCATTCTCAGCCTCAGGGTGGAAAGGCCAAATTTTGCAGTCTTCATTTAGGCAAAGTGCTTTTCTGGTCTTGGGTTGTAGAATTACTATCTGCCTCATTTTGTGTAGAGTTTTATTAAGAGGAGATAATTTATTTTTCTGTTCTACGTAGAAGATAGCTGCCTGATGTTAGGCACTGTTTTACATATTATGGTCAGTTGTGGGAGGTTTTGAAGTTGGATTTTTTTTGGAGGTTGGGATTTTATTTATTTATTTTTACTTTTCAGTGAATCAGCAGGTATTTCTATTTACATAGATGGGAGAGAGGACAGAAAAAGGAGTTTTACTTGTTTTCCCATAAAGGGCTAACTTTATCTTCTCTGCCCTAATTTTCTCTGTCTCTACTGGAACTGTTATGACTGGAGGAATTCCATTTCTCAAGAGCTCCCATTTTAGTGGGACATCAGCTTGTTTTTAAAATAAAAAGAGTGCTAAGCTAGAGTTGTGCTACAGACTTCCACCAGTATAACACCATTCTTTGAGGTGAGTCTGAGTATGATTTCTGCCCAGTGTTGTTGTTTGGCAGAAGTGAAGTGTTATCAGCACTAGTTTTTAAAGGTAGGAAACATGAGGACTACCTGTTTTGGCTAGGTGCCATCTTGTCAAAGCTATCTGTTGCAGAGGTGGAAAAGAATCACAGGCTAGTAAACTATAATCACATTTATTCATTCTCTTAAACCAACACGTCCAGAGCTATTGTTTCCAATCAATAGATTTAATAGATTTATTTCATGATTGCCATTAGCCCTTGAAGCTCATCATTCAGTTCATCATACTTTTTCAAGGGGCTGAATTTCATAACTTTTGTCTTCTCAAGTATTTTTCCTTGGAAGATTAGCTTTGTGTTAAAGTCTTAAATTAAAATTTTATTTGCGTGATTCGGTAGAAAATTTCACTTGAATTTCTTCATTTAATTACATATGCTTTTGGTCTCATGATTCAATACGTATGTCATTGCCACAAAATTAGTTATCTTAACTAGCCAGCAGTTCGCCTTGGAAATTTCATTTCCTCTGCCTCAGGAAATACTGTCATTCCTCTACCAATGTTTTGAAAGGGAGTGAATGTTATCATTTAATTACAATAAGCAGAAAATCAAAACAATGGTAAGTGAAAATTGTCAGTAGCATTTCTGGTTTTCCTGGACTTTCAGCTTCTTTTTAGAAGAGTATTGGAAATGCTTACATGGTAGGATGGGAATGGCTGGCAAGGATTGGTCATATTACTTGTTTCTGTGCATTAAGTTTTTACATCCATATCAAAATATAATTTATTTCATCTATGCTATTGTGGCAGACATCATGCCTTCATCATTCTTTCCATTTGCTCTTGGAAATAACTTGGAAAAGTTATACAATACTGCACATCTGCACTGATGAGTTTCACAATGTTTTGCATTGTAATAATCAGAAAAACAGTATCTTATTTTAAGGGTCAGGCACCAATGTGAAATAAAAGGACAAAGTGATTACACTGAGTCACTTGCAGGCTGTGTTCTCCAAAATGGCCTATTTTTGAAATGCAACTGATGCAATTTACTTGTTACACATTTTACTGCATGGACTGTGAGATTGGGTAGACTTTTTCGGCAGTCTCATCTATAGAGAAATGCAGATGAACTATAAAAGTAAAGGGAGGGAAATATATTGTAAACCCCTGTAATTTCACAGTTTGGAGCTATTTCCCTGTAAGCACCAGTGTTTCTATTCCTGCCTTGTCTATAGAAATAACATCTGAAACCTGTTCGTAATTTCAGAAAACAATCAGGACACTTTTTCAGTTCTTTTCTTATTCATACAACTGTGCTCTCTGTGAGCTTCACTTCTCTCAATTACACGACTTGATATTAAAAAAGAGAAAGGAAATCCTGCTCAAGTGAGCTTCAAAGTGGCAGATGTGCAAAATTCTCAAGCGAAAGCTAGAAACTGCTTGTACAATAATTTTTCAATTGCTGTTAATTTGATTGCTTCTTCACTTGCAAACCAATGCTACTGTTTTGGGGTTTTTTGTCTGTAGAGACTTCAGAGTGGATTGTGCAACTATATTAAAGGAGTGGAACAGTGCGGAAGGAATGAAAGAGACTACAGTTTAGGAAAAAAGTCTAGAATAAAAATATTTTCTGTTGTACACTTGTTTAAATATGGTGTTATAGTTTTATTATAGAAAGAATGATGGAAAGATAAAATTATTAAATATATGTCAATTTTTGAAAACATAAATACTAAAACCAGAGGTTGTTTATCTCTGGTAACACAAAAGCTGTGGCATAGTCAGGAATACAATTCAAATGCCTGAAGTTCTCCTTGACTGTCTTAGTCATGAGGCAGTTCGGGGATGGGGATGTTCGAGGTTATGTCTGGTTTTCAAAACTGTGACGTACAATGGCTTTTCATTTCGTCAAGAATTATTTTAGGTACAAATAATATCTAACATGTTGAGGTTGGTGGCAGGTACAGATTTAAAATTCTTCCTGGATTGTGTGGCAGAAGCACTAGGAGCTGCTTCTACATCAGACCCTATTCTTTGACTTAACGGAAAGAGTTTTAAAATGCTGCAGAACAAAGATGTTGCTCATACCAGAAGGGATTTGTATTAAAATCAATATGAATGTCACTACTGCCTTCTCTGACAGACCAATTCACTTCAAAATAAGTTGCTAGTTTCCAAATTTCAGAGATTTAGAAACTGACTTTCCTTCTCCCCTATGCCTGATAAAAAGATATAATGAAGTTACAGAAAATAATTTACTATATGACCAAACAAAAGTATAAACTCTTTTACGTCCTCACTGCTCTTAGAATAAAGATATGCAAACATAAACTTAGTTCAATTAAAATGACCTTTTGATACATATTTTTCCATATAGGGTCCTTCTGGACTAGAAGGAATTCTGGATTCATTGAACAAACATTATAATGAGGTATGGAGATTTGATATAGTATCTGTGTGGGTTTATGACTAAGAAGTATCTAAGGTAGAAATGACTATAGTTTTGATCCCTGCAAACCACATTCCAAATTAATCCAAAAGGTAGTTCCTTCTGTCTTCTCTCTGCATCCCTTTACAAGCTCAGGCCACACTCCAGTCGCATACCTACTGTGTCATCTGTCTTACTGTCTTGCCTCCCATCCATCTTCTACTCACTGATTTTTTGACTGGTGTAACTCAAAAAGCAGGTGGGTGGACCGTGGAACTGTTAGCGGGAAGCACCAGCTCCCCACTTCTAAAACTAATTGCTCTAAGTTGTACTTGACATTACTTTCTTGACCTGCTCTGTCATGATTCTAAAAGTAAAACAGAAAGACAAGGCATAATTTTTAAAAGATCTGCTAGCAATCCATGAGAACTGTCCTTATGTTTGTATTATAGACTCATAAAAATAGTCTTAATTACAAAACCACCTGCAGCTAAAACCACTTAATAGAAAAAAAAAGTTAAAATTGGATAGGATGGTGTTCCACATGACAGAGCTTTGAAATACATACTACAGAAATTTCAAAGTTGTAGTGTCTGCCGTTGTAAGAAACCATCATTGAGAGATCACAGAAGTTTGCTTAATTGATGCTAGAGTAGTTAACTTATCTGATCAGAAAATTCTATTTAATTCAAAGACTTATGAAACACTACTACAGCAATATTTGTTCAATATAAAGGCTAATGTGTGTATCACACCTTAAGTCATGAAGGTCAAGCCTGGAAGACATCCATCTAATATTTCTTTAAATATTAGAATGTATAACTATGAAGAGCAGGTGAATTCAGGATATTCTCCTATACAACATTTCTAGACAAGTACTGAAATCTTTTCTTGAATAGATATTTTGGAGCTAAGTTCATGTCAAATATATCTTTTCAGTTGTTTTTATCGCTGAAGTGATTTCTCTGTTATTTCTGATATTTAATTCATTTCAAATCAGTTATCACCTTAGAAACATGCATTAGGAATTAAACATGGGGCATTTTCATGCCTGGAGACTTAGTTTCTGGTTTTGGTTTGCCATTTCAAATGTATGTGTTGAAGTTTTCTATATTTTCATTTTACACCTTTGGTTTTCTTACCAGTTAATTTTTTCCACCAAAGAGCTTTTGCTGATACCAGCCCTGTTTCCTCTATCAGTACCATATTTATTGTAACTCATTCCCGACCTCTGCACTATGAATTTGTTTTATCCTGATAGTACCTTTAAGGTAATTTTGCAAGAGGAAATACAAGCAGTGGCGACCTTCTGGAACTGATAAGCAGATGTCTCAAAAAAAAAATAATTTTTTTTCTTATCACTGTAAGGCTCTAAGTGTTTGTAAGGTGGCTTATATTTCCTAATTAACAATATTCTGGAAAAAAAGCTAGACCAGCTGCTAGGTGTCTATAAGTTAATTGTCTTTTAAATCCTGTACACCTTAACAACTTTTCTTCCTTCAGCTGTCTAGTTTGAAGACTTTAATGACTCTATCACAAGCAATTAACTGTTCAACAAGGAAATGCTGTTTGATTCCTGGTGAAAGAGGAGATGGCTTTCTGATTCAAGCAACAGGTTCTAAATAGGCAACATTTCTGTAACTATGTGTTCAGAACCTCCTAGAGTCAAAATAAGTCTCTAACTGCTTCAGCAAACATATTAGTTCCTATACATTTTATGATGGGAGTAGGATGTTTCCATCAAGGACAAGACAAAAAGTCATCAAAGACAAGGACAGCTTCTCTGCTTTGCCATTGATTCAAGCAGATGTATGCACCAGTAACTTCCCTTTCTCCCCCCACACTATTATATAGTATGTCAAGAGCTGATTTTGTCCACTGCACCTTGGAGGCACCAAACAATTTTTTGCATTTCCAGTATATAATTCCAGTATATAATTACCTCAGTAATTTGCATTGGTAAAATGATATTTGAGTGATACCCTGAGATTTTTGAGATTCCTCACAGCACAGGAAATGATCTTGTCATTTTCCATCACTTTATGAATGTTCTTAAGGATCTCATAAGGTCTTCTTTCAGTTTGGTATTTAAAAGTGTTCATATTGTGACCACATTTTGGTTGCTATAGATATCTTAATACCTTTTTTTTCCCTCTCAGGATGTTATTTGGCTTCTTTGTGTTGATATTTTCAGGAAGCATGAGAAACTTCTACCAAGAAATGTGGTGACTCTTAAGACCCATCATATTTAATAATGTCTCTTTTTTTTTCTCTAATTTCTCTGTTTCTTAGCAGATTATTTGCTGTTCTTCTGAGTTCTGTATGATATCAAGAAGTAGTTGGTTTTGCATAATGTAATTAAATAATCTGTTGCAACCAAGGTTCTTCTAGCTCAGTATCAATCACTTTATTGTGCTAGGAGGCTGGAGTGCAAGTCTTTAAAAGCATAATATACTTGATCCATGTATACAGTGAAAGAGAGCACTATAAATACAATTGCTGATCGCAGCAGCAAATTGTGATGAACAGCAAACCAAGATCAGCAATCTTTCTTTAATGAAGGTGAGGGGAACCTGCTGAGGATAAGTAGTAGCATTGATCCTTAATGGGTTGGGAGACAGTGCCGGAGCCTTTCTTCCCTCATTCCTCCTTTGTGCCTGTTCTTGCAAGGCATGTGACTATTTTTATGTTCCTTCTTGGTATGTCTTTTGTGCTTTCAGTGTAAACAAGGTGCTTTGCATGTATTCAATACATGCATTTGTTTTCTCTTCTTTTTGCCAAGAAACTAGTTCTATCCTGTACTGCAGGTTACATTCCTTCAGCGATTGGTAAACAATGCCTCATGATTTGAGTTTGTTTACTCTCAGGCCTCTGTTATCATCCTTTGCCTGGGTTTCAGGGCCTCTGTCATCTTTTTTACTTACCAGTTTCCCACACATAAATAGAAGGTCACTTTAGTCAAACTTGCTTCTAAACATCAGTTGAATCTAAAATGTTCTACAACACATAAAAATGAAACCAAAACACAAAGGAATTGAAACTGTATCACAGTCTTTCCAATAAATGTTTTAGAATAATTATAGTTCACAGTAATTTTAGATTATTCTGGAATAATTAATTATTAATTTTCTAAAATTTTTTTTGCTTTATTGTATTTTACTTAAATTTTGTTGTAAGGAGCAAATTACCTATAAACATGCAAAGACCATAGAAGCAGTTATTTAGTCTAATAGCCTCTTTTTTTTTTCCTCCATGTATGCATAAGAAATGCACAACTAAGTATAAATCATAATTTATAGTGTACTCATTATAACAGGCACCTGATTGTGCTCAGTCCAATGGTAGTCAACTACTTATCAGCAATACTCAGGTTCCTTTATCTGGGTATCTGCCTCTGGCTCTGAAGCTGATTTTGATAATTAGTGTACCAACAGTGTTTACAAACCCTAAATACCTAAGAAAATCCACCATAACACTAGCATTTCTAAAATAATAATGATTTTATTAAACTGATTTTATTCAGTTTATATTCAGTTACCTACTTCTGAAAATATTAGCAGAGTGCAAATGGCACTTTTATTCATCATAATGTTTCTCTATTTTAGCAGTATGGAAACTGGAATATGGCCTGCTAAGGGTGATACATGTTCTAGGGCTTAGATTCCTTGGGTCTAGATGGGTGCTCATTTTTCAGGGTCTTTTTTGTTGTTGTTGTTGTTGTTTCTTTTCCCACTGTCATTAAAAGAAAACACATTCCCCATAGGTAGTCTGAGTCTGGCTTTGTGAAAAGGAAATAATTTGCTTTGTATTTTATTATGTCTTTACCTTGTAGAGAAGAGTAAATAAATGCAGTGCAGTAAACACCTGAGCACATATACAACCTGAACCTCTGGTCCTTAAATCTGTCTATTTTCTTTGAGGAGCAATGTGAGGAGCCTGTTGACCATGTTTATTCCCACTCCTTCTGGCTCACTACTGTAGTAGACTTAAATTAGTTCTACATTCTTTTGCATTTCATGCTGCTCAAAAGTAAAAAGCTTGTGGTTTTTTCATAGGAGAGAAGTGGGTTTTATTCTTTTTTAACATACTTGAGGAATGTACCGTAACAATGAGCATAAAAATATGCACTTTGCATTGAGTTTTTTTAAAAAAGTCACATATTTGCGCAGCAATGTTCTACAAAGACATTTCCCTTTTATGCTTTTGTTCCTGTTCTGCTAGTCTGGCTGGTTGCTCAAATACATTACCTAGCTGTACTGCATAGGCATTTGTTATCCCTTTCTAGTAATACATTAGGACTTCTGAATTTACATACTGGTAAATTACAAGAAATTGTTATGGTAAATAAATTGTTACTGTAAGTGAATGGTGACATTTTCTGGTTTTTGATCTTTGTAATAATATTTCTTTCCAGAGTGATACAAGACTACTAGAAGTACTTGGGACCCCTGGACTTAAAGGCCAGAAGGGAGATGTTGTAAGCATTTGGCATGAACTTGGAGAAATTTCACAGTGCCTGTCTAACCTGTCTCTACCACACTTAACATAGTATCTTTTATTTGATTTATCACAACAGGCTTTGAAGGAATAGATTTTAGAGATGATTGGCACTTTGAACTGTGTAGTCCAATATCCAGCTCATCGTGCTATCCTGCAGGAGCAGCACGTGATCCTTTGTCCTCTAGTATAAACAGAAAGGAAAAATGCTGAAAGGACTGTGTGTGGTTTCCATAATGCTGTCTGAGAAGTCAAATGAGCTGACCTGCCTGCTATGTGGAAAAGACTCTGAAAAAGTTGAAATTTGAAAAATATTTTGAATAGTAAATCACAAATATTTAAAACAGTTTCTCTGTAACAATAGGACTTTCTATACCAAGAATACTTACAGACAGTCTCTAAATATTGCATGGAAGTCAAATTCTGAATCCACACCATATGACAGTATGTTGTTTATAGTCATCTGTCCTGTGTAAACAGTGGAATGATTTTTAACAATTGCGTGTGTTCCAAACTTGTAAGAGAAGGGACAAGTGCTCTGGATATGTCACAGAATTAACAACATTTTTTAGGGAGAAGCCTGCAGATCTGCTATAGAATACAGTCATTTAAATTCATTTGCACATGTTTAAAGCTTGATTTCCATTGCAATAATGGTTAAGATGTGGCTTACATAGAACAAAGTACAGGTAAAGAAGGGGAGAGGTTTATCTGCATTTGTCAGAATATAAAAGATTTTAAAATTAATTAATTTTGTTAAAAGGGTCAGAAAGGAGAATTGGGAATGACAGGCGCGAAAGGAGAAAAGGTAAGTTAATTCCTTACTTCTGTGCTCGTGTGTTATGCTAGAAGTTAACTAAATATACTGATTATTAGTGAAATCTTGGAAAATATACAAGAGATCAAGAAAATGTATTTGGGCATAGGAAAAGTTGTCATTATTCAAGCACCTTCTTGTGTGGGTATTTATATATGCAAGTAAATTTCCCTGTTCTAGCAGTTCACAAAGTCCTTAGTTTTAAACACATTCAGACTTTCACTGAATACTAGTTTAAAATTGTTTATATAAGTTTATGACCAGAGACTGACTCATGAATTAGGCACCATTCACATTTTTTCAGGTTATGAATGTGATCTTCAATATCTTTATGAGAAAACAGAAGTCTTTAAATTATTAAAATTTAGAAATAAACCTTCTAATTTAGTGTCTTTTAGTTTGAGAATAAATTTTCCAGAATGACTGGGGGGGAAAGTGGAGCATTACTGGGGAACAGGTGTATATTTTGCTTTTCTAGGAATGTGTTCTTCATCTGTATACCCAGTTCTTCATCTACTGATTATTAGGCATTTTGCTATTCAGCTGTTAGGCTTCCAGTTGGTTTCTTTGGTCATATCTTTCTATACAAATAGTTTTCATACAAACAGAAACATTTTTTTACTCTGTTGATATCACAGATTTATGATTTTGTGTGCTATAGAGCACTTGTGTTTGGGAATTTTTCAGTTTTGGATGCATTATCACTGTCTTTAGTTCACGTTCCTGACCCTCCCTTGTACTCCTGCTTGAAAGGACAACACCTGCCATGGTCTTGGCATTAAATCAACATCATCCTTCAAGTAAACTTTTGTAGTCCATATATTTGTACTGTATATAAGTTTAAAAAAATGCAACATTTTTCAAGGACTCTTCAACAAAACCAGGCATATGAACTATTTACTATTTAAAAAAAAAACTGTGTTAACCTCTTCCCTGTGTTTCCTTAGGGAGAGCCTTCTGAAAAAGGGGACAAGGGAGATCCAGTAAGTATAGCATGTTTTGAACTGATGTGAATAATTTACATTCAAGATTATTTCCATACTATATTCATGCTGTAATTCCTCGTCTTTGTACATGTTCATTAGATTCAGGGATTATGTGGGATAGCATATATTTTGTCTCCTGTCTTACACAGGTTATAAATAAAAACCAGAGATGCCCAGTTCTTCACCATTTCTGTTGTTGGTACAGTCCATGAACTGAGTTTAAAGCACACACCTTTTTTTATTGTATGCAGAGGTTCTTTCTTTCAGTTATTTCACAAATTTTTTTGTGGCCTGAACTGTATTATTTTTATGCCCTTAGTGTGGCATTTAACATCAGGCAGATTTGATATAGTCATTTTATGTGTGCATAACTTCTTTGTTATTTTGGGGCGTATTTTTAGAACCCTCATTCTGTTTACCTATGTTACTTATTTTTAAGTAATTATTGTCCCCTCTTATGACATTTGACAAAAGCTAGTTATGTTTTTTAGTACACAACTCAAGGTTGCTTAGATTTTTGTGATTTACATGTTATAATAACCAAAATAAGCCTTACTGCAATAATGTGTGGGTTTGGAGATGAATATTGTGTACCAGAAGAAATTTTATTGTGAAGAATAGGCTTTTGTCTGGAAAAGCTCTTATGCAAATGTAGTATTTTCAAACATGTTTTTCTTTAAAACATTAGGAAAACCTGAAAAAAAAATTAGTTTGAAAGAGGAATGCCTTTCAGAGTTTGCAGAAAAAAAATCAGAAATTCTTTAATGCTTTCTCAATATTTAAGTTTGCAAACTGTGTTACAATATTTTAAGTAGCATATTAAACTCTTAGCTGATCTTAGTTTAAGTTTTAACTTCTTATGGTTTTATCTAATGTTTTCAGGGAGAGACTGGAATGCAGGGATCGAAAGGAAATAAGGTATTTTCTGACTTGTGCACACTACATACATTGCTGATACACATAGCTGATACTGGAAGATATAACAGTAACCTTGGATTTTTTTGTTTTCTCAAACAATGTCATTAGGGTGAAGTGGGAGACCCTGGACCACCTGGTCTTATCGGAAATCCAGGATCAAAGGTAGGTGAGAGGTATTTTTGTGTTATTAACAGCAAGTGCGTTCTATGCTGTTTTATAAGAGGACTGAATGCTATCAACTCCTTAGCTAGTATTAAAGGACAGAGAATGCAAATAGTTTATGTCAAAAGTTTGTGCTTGGATTATGGCTATTTTACATAAGATTTGCATTTTACATAAAGTTATGTTGATCTCAGCATCATTCAGGAATATTTAAGCAAAGCTCAAATGTTATTTGGTCACTCGAGATTATGAGCACCCATTTTGCAATTACAAATCCACTGGTAGCTGGGTGTATTCTCTTTATCCATCAGTGAGGCAAGGAGTAACCACTGCCACTACTACTGTTCCTCTGTTTAATCTTATGAGACTGTAGGTGATGTCAAACCAGTCATTGCCTTGCTTTGAGTCTATCCTCATAGGCAAACTCCAGAACTGTGTGCTGGACAGTGAGGTGGATTGAGAGCTGGCTGAACAGCAGATCCCAGAAGGTCATGATCAGTAGCACAGGGTGTAGTTGGAGGCCTCTCACTAGTGGTGTCTCCCAAGGTTCAATACTGGGCCCAGTATTGTTTAACTTATTCATCAATGACTTTGATGAAGGGGTAGCTGCCTCCTCAGCAAGTTTGCTGATGACACGAAGCTGGGAGGAGCAGTTGATGCCCCAAGGTGCTGTGCAGCTCTTCACAAGGATCTCAAAAGGTTGGAGAGGTGGGTAGAGAAGAACTGTCTGATACTCAACAAAGGCGAAGTCAGGGTCCTGCACCTAGGGAAGGAAGAACCCCATGTACAGATACAGGCTGGAGGCTGACCTGCAGGAAAGCAGCTCTGCAGAGAAGGACCTGGGGGTCCTCCTGGCAGACAACAAGCTGTCCATGATCCAGCAGTGTGCCCTTGTGGCCAAGAAGGACAATGGTATCCTGGGGTGCATTAGGAACAGCCTTGTCAACAGGTCAAGGGAGGTAATCCTGCCCCTCTACTCAGCCACAGTGAGGCAAATCTGGAGTGCTGTGCCCAGTTCTGGGCTAGTCAGTCTCTCTACAAGAGAGACATGGAGCTCCTGGAATGCGTCCAGTGGAGGGCAACAAAGATGAATAAGAGACTGGAGCATCTTTCTTACAAGGAAAGGCTAAGGGAGCTGGGCCTGTTTGGCCTCGAGAAGAGATGACTGAGAGGGGACTTCATCAATTTGTATAAGTATCTGAAGGGAGGGTGTCAAAAGGATATATCCAGGCTCTTCTTGGTGGTGCCAACCAACAGGACAAGAGGCAATGGGCAGGAACTGATGCACAGGAAGCTCCACCTGAGTATGAGAAAGAATTTCTTTACTATGTGGGTGACCAAGGACTGGAACAAGATTGCCAGAGAGGTTGTGGGGTGTCCCTCTCTGGAGATACTCAAGAAAGTGTGCCATGTGCTCTAGGATGACCCTGCTTGAGCAGGGAGGTTGGACCAGATGACCCACTGTGATGCCTTCCAATCTTACTCATTCTGTGATTGTGTGATTCTGTGAGGAAAGTAGCTGAAGCACAAATGTTCTTGAGAGTCTCTCATGATGCCTTGTATCAAAGAAAGGTAGAATTGGAAACTGTTAAAATGTAACCTCCACCTAACACTATTCATGTTATATATGATAATACTCAAATTTTAGAACATCAAAAGAAAGCCCAATGATAATGGATGTAGTTATAGAATCCACAAAGCTGTTGTCTTAAAAATGATTCTTGAAATCTTGATTTATTCTTTTATTCTGTCTGACCCTTTAGGTATTGCCTTGGTATTGATTTGCATTTGCTTTGTATAAATACTTTGGGTTTTGTACATATCAGTCCCCAAGATTTATTGAACATTAGAGTAAGGGAGAACGAGCAAACTCTACTTCTTACTTCATGTGGAAGATAATTCTTAATGCCAGATGTTTTAATCTATTTATATATAAGTATGCTTTACACCAAATTACAGTAGTGTATTGACTTTTCCCTGTATTATATCATTTCACAGGGACTGCAAGGCCCTCCAGGACCTGTCGGACCCAGGGGACTGCCAGGAGAAGTTGTATGTATTGTGCAGTTTCACCAAGCTGTAGCAGTGTGGTGTGTGAACAGTTAGCCAGTGGAACAGTACCACAGAAGTTATAATAGGTGCTCCTTTCGTGGGTGGTACTATAGCAATGATGGGTTGAAGCACAATCAGATGGAATGCCTCCCTCAACAGGCCTTTAATCTCGAGTTTCAATAAACCATCTATATCCTGCTTCTGACACCATTTGACAGCCTGAAGTGGATCTGGATATTGGGGTTTATTTAAGAACCACTGAATTGAGGTCTTTTACCCTTCCTGATTATCTCTTGCTCATTCCCATGTTAGCATTATATCCTGACCTCCATTTTCAGCAGGGAGATTGTTGCTTGGCCAGGACAGTTGGGCAGCAAGTTGTCTTGGTTTGTGTTGTGCAGCTTCTCACAGTTACCAGCCACAGGTACAACTGGCTAAGGCTCACCAGAGATTCAGTGTGCCCTTAACCTTTATGTCTGAGTGCAAAACTGGTGGGTTGGGAATGTCAAACAGTGATATGGCTCAGCAGAATCTCAATGTTCCTGTAGTTATTATGCTTTTGAGTGTCCCACATTCAGGTCTGCCAATGGATTGGGGTTTGTCAAGGTGATAAGGGTATCCTTCATGGGCATTTTAGTGTAACTATAACCATTATGCCACTGGGCAACAGGCTGGTGGGTCTGCTGGCTGGTTGAGATTTCTTAAACTGGTAGGCACCTCCCTGAAGATCCAGAACACCTGTAACACTTGTGCCTCTGGGCAGGAAGAGCATGGGTGAAATGTTAATCCAGTCTGGAGTCTCTAGGAAATGTCTTGAACTATTAAGCACCATTACACAAGACTTGAAAGTTCCCTGGGCATTTGACTGAACACTGTAATATAGCAGAAGCCTCTTCTGGGGAGGTGGCTGCCTGTCTCACTTCCAAATTATAGCACAATCCCTCTTTAGGTGTGCAGGCACCTATGTTCTGCCTAATCCCCCATATAAACTGAAATTAGGTTTCAGTCCACAACACCTGTGGTGTCACATAACCTAACAAGTGGCACCTACCCCGTCTTCTTGGTTCTTGCACCTGCCTTCCTCCATAAACCATAAAATGGCTTTTAAGTAGCATTTTGGAGATTTGAGTGGTTATATCCAAGAACTGGATCAAAAAAAGCAGGCAATGGAGAGCTTAAGTTTAGCGTAGCAGAACAGAAGCTACCAACAGAAGCACCTAGGTGCTGGTGTTGCATTTTGTCTTTGGCCTTTCCAAGCATGCTTTGAGACTACTTTGTTGAAGAGAACTCTTGTTTTGAACAGACTTTTATGTCATATGCTTTTTTAATATTAGAATACCATTCTAAGTGATACACAGCTGGCAGACTTTTTTATTTTTGACCTGTAAAAAGTCTAAGGTATGTAAGCAAAGTGACAACTGGAGTACAACATCTTCAGCTCGTGGCAGAGGATTGAAATACTAGTATTCAAATCTTCAGTTAGTTATTTTTTACTGGCTTACTTACTGACCATTTCTTTATACCTGATTTTCCTACTCAGTTTAGGCACACATTTTTTTAATTGTGTCTAATGTACGTATCATCTATACAGTAGTTTGTAAGCCTCATCTGGTGTGCTTCTATTTATGTATAGATCTCCAATCCTACTGGGAAAAATAACTACATACTGCATTTCTCTCTTGCTTGTGTTACCACCATCCCACTTGAGTTCATAATTGCTGCTTTTGAAACTGCTGTTCTGATAGATCTTTGATCAAGTGGCATTTTGAACAGATAAATACTGGATATAATGTATGTAGATCATAGATACAGATGATCTTGAAGATTCATATTTGTACATACAATTCTAATATGTGAAAACATATTTAAATATATTATAGAGACGTGTTTATCTCTAGTCTTGTTGTTTTGTTTTGTCTTCTAAAGATTAAACATTATGGATTAACAAATATATGCAACAATTTTATGTGGTATAATGAAAATTGTGAAAGGTTGAAAATTGTTTTACTTTCACTTACATCATCAATGAGTCATCCAGCATGTAAGACTTACGTCTTTTCCTAAGAAATCTCTCAAGCTTTGTCCAACAAAAAAAGAAAAAAAAGAATTGTAGAAGAGTTGGGGATAGAGTAGGCCATGGTGTCTAATCCATAATCAGTAAATTTAAAATTCCATATATTTTTATACTGATTTGGTCTTGGTATAAGCAGAATGTCCTTCATAAGGTTACCTTTTTTTCTTTCTTATGCTTTTAATTTGGATGGTTGGGTGAAACAAGTAGCTGTCTGTATTAAGCAGAGAAAGGAAACACACAGCTCTTGCACCTTCACTACTGGCATGAAAATGTTGTCATCCTTCATATGTCAGTGTTCAAAAAGCTGTGTTTTACACTCTGAAGAAAAATTAAAACAATATGAGTTTCTTTGTCTTTTTCTTAGAAAGTTCATTTTCTAGTCCAGCTTAAGTTTCAGACTTGGATTTTACTTTTCAGATTGGGCAATTTTATCTCTTACTGTGAAAATTACTGGTATTAATAAAACACTTGACTAAACGATTGAATAACATTGAAGGGTCATGGAAAAAGTTTTCTGTATTTGTTACAGCATAATAAGAGAACCCAATTAAGCCTTCCTTATTATTTGAATAGTTTCTATTTAGGTTTTAATCTTTTTTATTTCTCTGCATTTATAAAAATTCTCAATGAAAAAGAAAAGGAAAAATACTGAAGTTAAAATCAAAATGTAAAAGATGAAAATACTTAGGAAAAAGAAAGGGTGGAACATATTTTATTTGCTGAAAATTTTTGACTGTCCATTAAATATCTAAAGCATTTTAAAGGAATTTTTTGGATTAAATAATGTGCAGGGGTGGGAATTCATTGAAGTTTTTAAGATACCAATTTGAATAATTAACTGGTGTAGGGAATCATGCAGACCTTTATGGGGAGAAAAGATGAGACACTTATCTAAAACTCAAGTTTTATGTGCTACTGCCCTCTTTGAAAAAATTATTGATTTTTCAAGACTTTTGAAATAGAAGAAATAAACCTTTCAGTCTCTGCCACTCTGCCCTGAGAGGGTCCAGAAAATAATCTTGATTATTACATTTCAATTAAAAGAAAAATTATTCATATATTTAATTAAAAAAGCATTCATTAACTTATACTCTTTAACATTTGGTGTCAATACTAATGCATAACTAGCGTAAACTAGTTTTTGTCTGTAATTTTAAATAACCTTTAAGGGAATAGCTATAAAAATGTACAGTTATGTTTTTATTAATTCCAGGGCTTACCAGGAGAGCATGGGGTACCAGGAAACCCAGGAGTTAAAGGAGACAAGGTATTTTTTTAAGTGTTTTTAATTAAACTTGATATGTTAGAGCATATTAAATTAAAACCTCAGAAGTAACCTTCCATCCTTTTGTGGTGCATCTGTGTGGCTGCTGTATGAATTGATTTTGAAATGTACCAGCAGCAACCTCCTGCCTGCTTCTTGAAGATGCTGCAGGCCAGTTTGGCAACCCAGTTTCTCTTCAGATTTATAATTTAAGTAATATTTCAAGAAGGTTGCACTGCACCCTTACATTGAATCTGTGCAGTGCAGAAATGTCAGTGCAGGTCCTGACTACAGAAACCCATTTCAATGTAGTGCCCTACCTGGACTAATGTGTAAAATCCCACTTCACAGTCAGACATATTCATCTTGGCAGAGCACTGGGGCAACTACACTGTCTCAGATGTAAACCAAGGCTGTGTCTCTTTATGACATTGTATTTTACTGTGTACAAATCCCTTAGTCAGAATTCAGATACATCAGCAATAGCTAAAAATTGTATGTGTGTATGTATTGAATGTAGAGAAGGGGAGAAAAGAGGATACACAGGTGTGCTCTGAGCTATGTGATGTGTTATGGTATTTATACATTGTGGAGTACAAGAGAAACTAATAAAATCCATTAATAGTTTGAAAAATTGAGCTAGAAGACAGACAGAAGAAAATAACTGGAACAAAAATCTACTCACCTCATAAAATGAGAAGTAGTGGATTCAGAAAAAATCACAGAAATGTTGCAAGAGCATGCAAAAGACAAAAGGACAGCATAATATAAAGCCCGAGTAAGCAGCAGGAGTTAGAGGTGTGGAACAAGAGGCACTGCATGCACTGATGTAAGAAGTAGAAGTGTAAACAGGAGTACAGTGAGGACCCTGGGTTTAGCACTAGTGGTAGATAGCTGGGGAGAGATTGCAGTTGGTGGAAATAGGTGGAAACCTGTTGCTGTGAATTAATTGTCAGGGTTTAATGAAAACCTGTGTATGAGGGGCCTGGGGACCACAAAATGTAGATCAGTTGCATTGTAAGCATGGAAAATCAAGACAATGCTAGTTACAATTGATGGTTGTGTAGTCCATGCCTCCTCTTCTTCTGTAACTTCTTGAAGGAAAATATCAGTGCTTTTTTTTCTTCTCTATTTATTCTCAAATACTGATACATTCAATAATAAACTTGATAATATTTACAGTTTTTTTATAGGAGAAATTCTCACATTTCAATTAGCAATTCAAATTTATTTTGTAGGGTGACCCTGGTGGGATTATGGGACCACCTGGACATCCAGGTCCAAAAGGTGATATGGGGCCTCCTGGACCAAGTCTGCCTGGAACACCAGTAAGCTCATAATCTGAAAAAGCTTTTCCGACTTTATTTCTTGGGGGCAACTGTTAAAGAATTGTCACTGTGTGATGAAAGAAACCATAGAATCATAGAATGGTTTGGGTTGGAAGGGACCTTAAAGATCATCTGGTCCCAACCCACTATCATCAGTAGGGACACCTTCCTCTAGACCAGATTTCTCAAAGTCCCATCCAACCTGGGCTTGAACACTTCCAGGAATGGGGTAACCACAGCTTCTGTGGGCAACCTGTTCCAGTGCCTCATCATCCTCATAGTAAAGAATTTCTTTCTAATATCTCATCTACTCTCAGTTTAAAGCCACAAAGCAAGTGTTTTTTTAATGTAATTTCAAAATGGAAATATATATTACAGTGCATACATATTATAAGTGCACTAAAATATAGTCTGAAAATAGCACAAGACTCACACATACTCCTAATGACAGTGGTATTAACAAGGAAGACATGGAAATTTTTCACACTTTATTTCTGAAGGATAACTAATTTTGGCAATAAAATTCATCTAGTCTCTTGGATTTTAAAACATAATTTGTTTTTTTTCCTGTTTTCTGTTTTGTTTTGGTCTTTTTAGGGTCCCACTGGTGTTCCTGGAAACCCAGGTCCACGGGGACCAAAGGTATACAAAATAGATTATTTCTGTTTCAAAAAAGTAAAAAATAAAAAAAAAAATTTAAAATGGTAGTTTACATTTTCAGACCTATTGTAATGGAAAGCCTTATACCTTTCACAGGGAGAAAGAGGACTACCTGGTGTACAGGGAGCACCTGGGGAGATGGGGCCCCCTGGAATAGGCATTCAGGGATCACCAGTAAGTATACCAATGCCCAGACTTTGGGCTTCTCGCTGTGCATCTCTGTGAAACTGCAGTAAGCAAACTAAGTGTAGTAAACAGCCATGCTGTGAACTCCCTTCTGACTTGACTCCCAACTCCCAGCTTGTTTCACATGTTGCTGTGTGGTTTAAGTTCAAGCATGAAGCAAGTTAATACAGCCTATCTAAAGCATTCATACTAAATAACTTGTAGAGCAATAATTGTTTCAGTTATTCAGCTTGTTTCCCAAGTTTCTTTCTTTCTATTGCCTTTAAATAAAGCCCTCTGCAGTGTCTTCAGTAAAAAAATTTACTGATACTGATGGTGTAGATGTTGGGTGGTACATGAGTTCTACTCCAGTGAATAAGACAATCTCTCTTCAGTCCAGACTGAAGAACTGTATCAGCTGATACATTCCAGTTTATGGACAGAGAGAAAATGTTTGTGAAAGATAAATAGAGATTCACAGTGAGTTCTTCATCTAAAATAATCCTTAAAAATATCTTTTCAGTTAAAATATTTTCAAATCTGAATTTTAAAAATTATCCATTTATATCTAAATAATCTAATTTGGTTTTATTCAACTGCTCATTAGCTTTTCTTAGGAATCTCCTGGCTAAATAACAAGTTTCACCACAAATCATTAATTTTTTGAGTTGCTTGCCCTTAAAAATGGGCCTTAGCAAAGTCTTGAATTCTGTAATTTTGACAAAATTACATTTGGATTTAAAGCCAAACCTTAGAGCGAGTCTTTCTCACAATGAAAACTGCAGCTATATCCCACATTCAATATTTTTTAATGAAGTTCATCTCCCTTATCCTAGAAAGTGTAACTACTGATTATTTGGAGTTTTCTTGCAGGGTCCTATAGGTCCAACTGGATCAGCAGGTGTGCAGGTAGGGTATAAGTTTTGTCTTTAATATAAAAAACATTAATTTAATTTAAGAATTTTACAGGAAAAGTATTTTTATACCCTAAATTACCTTTCCTGCTCTTAGGGCCCTAGGGGACCGCCAGGGTTACCAGGAACTCCAGGTACTCCTGGTATTAATGTAAGTGACAGTTTTCTATATATGCAACAAAAAGTAATGTGTGCCTCATCAATGATTAAAGGCCATCAATTTTTACATTTGCTTCTAGGGCACTCCAGGAAGAGATGGAAAGCCAGGACTACCAGGCCCTCCAGGTGATCCTGTATGTATAGAGAGAAAGTTTGTGCATTTGTTTTGGTGCAAGTATTTTAAATTTAAAGAAGGTGAATACCATAATAAGTCTAGAAGAACTGGTGATATGAATGACAAAGTGGAAATACTTTCTTGGGAAAGACAGGAAAACAGTCATGTTACATACCTTTGCCTCAATAAAACTTTGAGACTGTCTTCATGATGTTTTTGTAAGCAAGCAAAAAATGCTTAGAATTACTTGCCATGTAGTTGATGCTTATCAAAAATTATGGGTCAGAATATCTATCAGCAGAACTGTCAAACTTGGAAAGAGAGGTCTTTCCCATGCTCAGTTCTTGTCAGTGATTTAATTTTATTAGGGTAAGTAGATAAAAACTCTGAAATTGGACTGGGAAAGATTGCTTACTTTTTGAAGATATAATCAAAATTCAAAGGCCATCTGAAGTCAACAAGATTTAACTTGACACAGATGAGTATGAAGTGCTTAATAAGGAAAAACAAAATCCATAAGTAGAATACATCTAGAGGTACAGTGCCTTGTAAACTAAATGTAATTAAAATATTTGATACTGCTATTAAATAGACAGGTCTAAATTATAAAACTTACTAACAGGAGCATTATTGCCTTTTGCTGTCTTGAAATACTCTTCTCTTTGGAAGGAACATTTTTTAAAGGAAGATGTAGCAAGCAAGAGTGATTCTGGAGAATTAAGGCCATTTTAACATTTTCAAAATCCTGCTGTATATCATGCACTTAGAGTTTGACACACAGAGTTATGACTCTTAAGTGTGTGTGCAGTTGGACTGGACTTGCCATACATAGAGAGCAGAGGAGCTGTATGGCACAAACATGGTAGGCTTACTCTTGTACCTCATGTGCTCTTGCAGCTGGATATTGGCACCTTCCACACTAAGGCTTTGGGGTTCTGTACCATAAAATGATATAACAGCTAAAATAAGAATGCTAGAAAAGAGGAGAGCCTGAGGAAATTACAATTCTCTAGTCCAGCAGGGAGACCAAGTAACATTGTAATAGCCCGACTAGCTGTAAAATTTCATCATAAGGGGAAGGAAGAAAAGCATGTGGTAGTTGTTTTAAAGTCTTGTTACAGGTTTTTAAGAGCAGGTGATACTGTCTATATGCAGTTTACCTCTGTGCAGAGGATGAACTTCACACCTTACCTAGTTATGTCCTTAGGTTGTGTTAGGTGGCGATGTCTCACCCTAGAAAACTCATCAGCCTGCTTTCAAAGTTTGGGGTGCTACCCTCTTAGTGGTGTACTCTTAACTATGTTTATGGTTAAGTATGTTCAGCAGTGTGTCTCCTGAGTTGATGTTTTAAACCCATTACTATTAACTGGCAGTTTTTCTAATATGCTACAAAAGTGCTTACGTTTTGTTTTTCAAGATGGAAATTATTGAAACAGACTGAACAAAACCAGTTAACATATTTTGAACATGCCTAATTTTATAGTATGTCCAGGGCAATTTTTTATTTTGCAATTGCCAGAAGAAATGAGCATTGGTAATTGGAGACTCTGTTTGTGAGTGAAGCTGATGATAACAAGGGCAATGAGTTTTTTCAGGGAATCTTTAAATATGAGTTTAATGGCAGGTCTTGAAAATCTGAGACATGCTGCAGTAAGTGTAGTCTTATTGATTGATCTTTAAATGGGTTAGCTTTAGTAGCCAATTTAGCGCTGGCACCACAAAGTTACGCACTAATTCTTAATGTTTAAAGACAGGAAAAATGCTCTTGTTGCTGTAGCTGGATTATTTTCGGTTTCTGAACTAATTTATGGAAGTTATCTTTGGCATCTCCAGAATTTGTGCTGCAGCTGATGGTAGAGTCAAAGCCTAGGAGAAAGGGGAAGGAAAACAATTGAAGATAATCAAGTGAGAATAGTCTGTGACACGTTTCAGTTGCGTTAAGTAGTTGCTGATATGCAACAAAACTAACAATATTAGTATGTTCTGGAGTTGTGCTGTTGTCATGCTTTAAGAAAGTTCTTTAAAATATAACAAAAAATTATAATTGTGAGGTTGGATAGGCAGCGATATTTAACTATATTTGAAACCCTTGTTTTAATTTTGAGTTTTCATTTAAAAGATAGCTTCAACCAATATATATATATATATAGTCAGCTCTCTTTGTAACAATATAAACTTTAGAAATAATGAGAACACATCATAATTAGTAATGTTGTGTAAAATACTAACTGCATCTCCTTTTTTAATGTCAGATTGCACTGCCACTTGTGGGAGACATGGGTGCCATACTGAAGGTAAATATTTTTAGAGGTTAGATATAGTTCTTTGTTATAAACGTACTTTTTAAACCAAAATATGCATTTAAAAGTTTCTGTAGGTTCAATTCTGACCCACAGGGCTAGCCTAAAATAATTTTGTGATTTTTGTAGATTTTTGATTTGTTTTCTAAAAATAAGCGAGGTTTGTATTCTATAGGAATTTTGCCAAATAGCGTGTGAGGTAGTAGCCAGCAAGTGCCTGTCCAACACATCCAATACACAGAATGAATTGCAACAAATATGCCTCGTTCTCTACTTTTGCTTTTTAGCATTAATTTCAGTAATATACCAAATAGGGAAAATAGTCTAGAATTTCTAAGATATTATTTTGAAAAGTAATGAAATTTGGAGCACTCAAACTTAAACACAGGTGTGCCTGGGACTATCTAAAATGAAGTAAAAAATGTGTCAACAGGGTTTGAGAGATGGGGGAGAAACAAGGAAGACTCTCTGAACAAGTATATTGCTTAGAAGAGAGCAAGGACTGAAGAGAAGGCTTTGGGGTAAAATGAAGGGATGGCCAGAAAGGCAGGAAGGAAGCAGTCTCTATAAATTGGTCTGTATGGATCAGATCTATGTAACAAAAATGGTTATTTGTCACTTGGTTTTCCGTCTGTTCCGCAGGGTGATCCTGGCACAAGAGGACCTCCAGGCATCCCTGGTAGAGAAGGGCCAAAGGTAAGTTTTGAAGAGAGTACTTTTCATTGCTTTGGCTCCTGTTAGAAGTAAAAGGCCAGATTCTTATCTCTTCCAGTCTTGACTTTCTTGTCTGATCCCTATCCATGTGACATCTGAGCAGCCTAAAAGTTCAAATGATTTTTCTGGTTCAGCCCTCATCATGAGTCAGTTTGCCTTCTCTCTAAGAGAGCAAATTAGCCTAATTTGAATCCCACACCGGGATAGCTCTTCTGTGTCTTGCCACCTTTAAAGCTAGCTCAGATTTGACTGTCAAGTAGTGCATTGTTACCTATAGACTTCTTTTAGGTGAGTCGGTCACGCAAGAATCCTGTGGTGAAGGAAACTTCCCATGTCTCCCTGAAGCATGCAACAGCTGGACCACCCTGTGCCTTTGCATTCTGTTTCCATGGGAATAACACAGCTATTTCACTGGGACTTGAAGTTTCACTGGCATCCATCAAAATCCTGCTTCACTGTAATCAGATCAAATGCCACATGCTTTGGCATATAGATATCTTCTATCATTGAGTCTAATTCCATGAAAAGTGAACTTTCTCCATTTCAGCAAGCGTTTTGAGCTCATTGGTGTTAATGTCTCCATCAGGCCTTTTGTCTAGTTTGCCTGCTAGGTACAAACCACTCATTTCCTTTCACCTCAATTGGAGTGATATTTTAAAGCTTTTAGGTTGTTTTGAACCTTTTTTTTTTCTGCTCTAGGCTCTATGGCTGTTAGGGCTTCATAGTAATATATATTAAATGTGGGTCATAAAATGCCCTACAGAACATGAAATTCATTGTTCTCTAACGAAAATATTTGTTTGAATGTTATGTTTTTATAGGGAAGCAAAGGTGAACGTGGATTTCCTGGGCTTGCAGGAGAGAAGGGTGATGAGGTACAAGTACTTCATTTCTACAGCAGCTACATTCCTATCTGAACCTGAGTAAAGACCTAGACTGAGAATGAAATGCACAGGATGTTTTTTAGTTCTTTAAAACTGCTGAGATAGTCATGTATTGCTATAAGTAGCTCTCAATTCTGAATTTTCAATAAGATTAACTGTTATTATTCAATTAAATAACATCTATTTCATTGTTGTTTATGAATTTTTACTCATTTATATATTTTAAAGCCGCATATACTTTTACATGCTAATTCTTAAGAGTATGGTATAGAGCAATAAATAGGCAAATGCCAAATATTTTTAGAAAATACTTCATGTTTATAACGTATATGCTTTCATTTTATTAGATCCCCTTTAGAATTTATTTTCAAAAACATTCCATTAGGCAAATACTCTGATGGGAATGGTCATAGCAGCAATTACTATTAAGTGGAAACTGGAAAATGTTTGAAGAGGCTGAATTCAAAGTATTTCCAGTATTTTGCATCATATACTGCATTCGTAGAGTTATTTCTGTGTCTTTATGGAGAAGGAAAAAATTCTCTTATAATCAGGGAGTGCTGGCTACAAGACACAGCACCAGGAGAATATGAAACACATTTAGAGTGTATTGATGGAGGGGTTTGCAATTCTTTATGATCATTTTACATTTCTTTGGCACTAAGGCCATGTAGACTAGTAGAATGAGAATAATTTTTGAAAAAAATCTGTGTTCATCAGTATCCTTAGCTTCCAAATGTAAACAGTTATATGAGGAAAAAAAAGATGCAGCAGAAGCATTAAATATGTATTCCTGCTACTGTTTTGCCCCAGAGTTTAGCATGTTGTCAGCCTGAAGTATCATGCTTATTTTTCCTTTTGTTTTACACAGTATATAGATCTCATTAATTCCTTGCTTCTTATCAAAGCAAGAGCTTCCTGAGGTTGAATTCAGAACATATTCCCTGAAAGGGTGGGCAGCCATAAACAAATTTCATGCAGAATTTTACTAAAAAATAAAAGGGGAAAGTAACACATCCTTTGTGTGTCCTACAGGATATCTCTGCAATTCAGTCCTAGCAGGCTGAGGCATTAGTGAAACCTTTTCAACAATTCAAATACTATTTAACTTCTGAAAACCAAGTGAGATGTTTCAGGCAATTAAGAGGGTAATAATAGAACAGCAAGTTTATAACTGGCAGTTAGGGTTTTTTTAAAGGACTCTAGGGTAAATTCATAGTAAATTTTTCATTAACTCGGTGGGGTGTTGTGCTGTATTAATAATTTAACTACTCACATGCTTCTTCACTGTTTGAGAACTCATTGCCTGCCTTAGCTCTGATATTTTCATTGTTTGGCAGTAACTTTTGATTATGACATTGTGAGGGTGCAAGTGAATCTTTTTGTCAGAGGCACATATGAAAAAGCTTACTAAATTTAAAAGTAACTTTTTTTTACAAATTCTTTAAAAAAATGCATTTATTTTCAGTGTTATGATTTGGTTAGCATGAAAATAGGAAGAAAGTTTGAGAAGCCCACCTTAAACTCTTTGAAATGCACTCATCAACTTCCATATGCTTTTAATATATGACCTTTAATCTTCATTGAAGCTTAGTTCTCTTCCTTTAAAAAACATGCCTTTTTTTCAGGGGAGGGTTTTCTTAACATCAGTAACAAGAACTGCAGAAAAGATTCCTTTGGCTTCATATTAATTTTCCATATCACTGTACCATCAGAGTAAAGTAATTAGAAATGAACAGAGCACATCCTGCCACTATGAAAAGCTGCAGAGGTGGATCAATGTCCTCTGTGTGTAGAAGCAAGAAAGGGAAATCAATGTCTCTCCCCAACTCCACATTTTTCCTGATTTATTTCTGTCTGAAGTTTTTCCCTCAGTCTCTCCCTCAGAGAACCTATTTCAGGGCTCCTGACCTCTGTAGCTTTCTAGACTACCTCCTTAGCCATTCCTTCTCAAACACAGCATTTAACAGGAGAAATACACCTTCTTCTTGTCAGCAGATAGACAGATAAAATCAATCTCTGCTGGGAGGTATCTATTTTCCTTCGTGGACTATAGGCAGAACCAAGAGCACTTGGCTCTCATTAGTACATGTCTTTTACATGTCTAAAATTGCACCTAAGCCTGGTGTGGCAGAGGAAAGACTTTCAGTGGCATCCAGGCTTATCTCAAATCCCATCTATATTTACTGTAGTAAGTTGCAACACGTGTATGTTTAGTAAGTGGATACCAGAGTCAATCAATTTTACAGTCAATAAAATCGAATAAAAGCAGGAAAGTGGATCATTAAATACTGTGTAAAATATCATGTTCCATTATCAAAAAAGCAAAATCTATAAATCAGGCAGAAAGCAGTATTGCATTTAGACAGCATCAGGAAACACTGAAAAGTCTGAGTAAATGTCTTCTCACCAAAAGAAGAGCCTTTTAGTGATAGAAAATAGAAAATTAATCTCTAAGGAAAAGCCAGCTGTCCTGTTCTTATCTACACAACTAAAGACAAAAAGATTTACGAGACATAAGATAACAATGTGAAAGGTTGAAGGACAAGTGATGTTTATCACTCAAGCAAGAAGTTACCTCTGACCTTGTCCAATGATAATCTCTTCCCTGCATGTCAAGGTGTTGTTTTTTTTCATTACTAAAAATAATGCACCAACCTTTTAGAAGAAAATGCATTTTTATATAGTTGTAATACTGCTGGACATGCTGAATATAAGTATTTTTTATGTAAAAGTGAGAGAGGAACTAGATGTGTGCTCTTTTAATTTCCAGGGTCTTCAAGGTGCTCCTGGACTGCCAGGCATACCAGGACCCAGTGGACCATCTGTAAGTGTTTGGTATCACCTGTGATCTGATTTACCTCTGGAGAGGTTGCTGTAGCTGTCTAGTTTCTTATTCTTTCTTTTATCTTTTAGGACAGTAATAATAAAACCTTACCCATACTGGCTCTAATAAAGTAAACTATGTTGGTGTTGATGTTACTGAAAATACTGTCATTTTCTGGGCTCAAAGTTTATGTAACTTAAATAGGTTTCAAGTTTTAGCGTTACTAGAGGATCTGTGAGGTTCCATGACTTACGGTGTGCGCACTTGCAGTGAATTATGTATTTGTACTCAAGTTATACTTGTTAGTAATAAAAATCTAAAAATAATTCCAGCTAGTAATTCTGAAAAAATTCAGTGCTGAAACCAAGTAATTACTTGCATTCTGTTTTTTGTTCTGTAATTACTTGGTTTCACAAGTAAAAAACAAAGTATGAGAATAATCTGACAATATTTAAAGGCACTGAAATATATCATTAGAATTTTTGGTATTATTGGCAAAAGTCCTCTTCAAAATTTTTTCAAATTTTATTTTCTACATATTGGGTGGAATCATGTTAGTTACTATGATCATTATTCATTCCTAGGTTTCATGGCAGTACTAATGCTTCTCTCCAAAACTGTAGCACATGTAGGAAGTTTAATGTGGAATATATAAACTGGCATTTTAGCAGTAATGCGTGATTCTTAGCAGTATCAAGATGTGCCAATTAGAGTCAGTGCATTTAGTTTGCCAAGGTGAAAATGCAACTGCAAACACAAGTTTTACCCTTCAAAGGACTTATCTGAAGGACACAGCTGTTGTATCAGACAGAAGAGAAATATTTAAACCTGAAGCAGCAACATAATTAGGTTTAAATGACCTTCAAAAAGCAAAAGTTTTAAAAACTTAGAGACAATTTAAGAATACTGTGTTTCATTTTTTCATAACTAATATAAAGAATTCTGTGTTGTGCAGGGAGTCACAGGAAGACCTGGACATCCTGGTCCAGCAGGGGCAAAAGGCGAAAAGGTATTCCTTCTCTTTAGTCTTGGTAAAGATCTGTGAAGGTTTTGCAGTCCCATTACACTCTTCTGTTTGGGGGCTTTTTTAAACAAGTGCAAGAGTGCAAACAAGAACGTGACATACATTTCAAATTTTTATTTGTGTCTTAATACAAGTACTTTCCCCAAGCAATGCTGTGCATATAGGCTTATATTTTGAATTGCAGTCCTTGTGGTGTATGTAAGTTGCAGAGAATGTTCTCTAGGTGTAAGGTATATTAAGTTTAGGAAAGTGAAAATGTGTTTGTGACATAGTATATGACTGGTGACTGCTTGGTCTGCTACTCATTCTTTTACCAGTATTAAAAGTATTTGCATACTTTCAAAGTGCTTCACAAGTACTGAAAGTTATTATTAGTCATTCTGAAAAAAATGCATATGCTTCCTTTATACTTAATTTACACTTAATTTTATACTTAATTTACACTCTTGTAGCACTACTTTTTATCAAACTTATGTGCTCTTTTATCAGGCGCTCAATATTATCCATTGTAACTAAGAGGTCAAATTCATTTCTCGGGTTCCTCAGATCAGAGAAATACAGCAGAGACAAACTTAGTTTGCTGCAAAATACTTTCTGGTACAAGTTCTCCGTTTTGTATATGAATACAGCTTTTTTTATTTTTTTCTCTATTACCTTGGAGTTTTTCGGGCATAACACTGCCACATCAATGTGTGGGATTCTACTAATACTCTGCAAAACTTTGACTCTGTGTGAGTAAGAAAGGAAACTATTTTGTAAAGCTCTGAGATTATTTCAGTATAAAATTTGAATGACAGTTTTCTCCTTGCAGACTACAATAAGAAAAATTTACCCCAGTTATTTCATTTTTATGTAACTGAATGCAAAACCCAAGTCTTTGTTAGTTCCTTGTTCACAATTGACACAGAAGTGAGAATGAGAAGCCACTGCTCTGTAACTTGTTCCTCATTCAAAAAGGGCAAAAAGATGACTGAAGAGTGATGAAGTAAATGAACTACAGGCCCAGTAATTTTCTCCTCCCTCCTTTATCTGGGGGACATGTTTGAGAAAAGATCACATAATATGCTTTCTAAAATAATAGTATTTTAATACCCCAGGAAGTATTCCAAACCACACTTTGGAGGCTTAGTTTCTATCAATTAGCAGGACCCTTTGAAAATTATTCTAGTATAAGCATTTAACTACAATTATATTTTTTTGGTGGCGTTGAACACTTAGCTTGACTTTTACCACCTTAGTAATTTTAAATATGTGACCTAAGGGTCTCACTGAGACGTGTTTAATAGGATTCAACAAAGTTAGTGAAAAATTCTGACAGACTTTTTTCAAATAGTGTACTTTACTGAATTGTAAGGATAAGATTTTGAAAAGATTTTTTGGGAAATTTTGTATTGAAACCTTTGTAACTCTATACTAGTCAGAGACCCCACCATTCTGCTGGGGAAAAATCTCAGCAGCTATATTTTTTTTTTAATATAAGCAATTCAGTACACATCAGCAGAACAGATTACAGATACAGATAACAGCAGATTAATATTCTATAATAAAAACCAAAAATATTTTCATTATGTCTCTTAATAAAGAAGATTTTTTTTAAAAATCCCAATTTTTATTCAGTGCATATCTATGTAAACCGAACTTCTCAAACTGTAGCTCTTCTTTATTTACATATGAATGATCAGCTGAGGACTGGCTTTTACAAAATAACATACAAAGTTAACAATGAATGTTAACTTTTATCTGCCAGTTGCTTAGAAATTCATATTAACAAATCTTTTTTTTTTTTAATCTTCCTCTCTCTCCTGGTACTTATGAAATGTCTCACAACCCAGGTTACCACTACTATTTTGCCATAAGGAAGTTACTACGCATAAAGCAGCAAGCAACTAACAAAATAAAAACTAGTACAAAGTAATGATTCATAACTTGCCTAAAACTTAAGCAGGAACTGGGCAGGAGAATTTATTCTTGATATTACCTGCTTGTATCTCTTGTTTATTGTCATTATGGTCATCATAGCTTGAGTATGGAATAAATCTGGCCAGTTACAGTAAATAAGTCTTATGAATCTCTTGCTCTACTAGGGTAGTGAAGGCTCTCCTGGGAAACCTGGACCACCTGGGCCTCCGGTGAGACATTTTGGTTTATATTTTGAATGTTATACTAAGAACAATATACCTGTGAGTAAAATGTAAAGTAATAAAAGGAACTAACATTCAGTCTAATACGTTAGTATTGCAGGATGGAAAAAATGTCTTTTTTCAAAATATTTCTGTATTCCTTTTTTTTTTCTTTTTTTGCAATTCATCGCTGAGTAAGTTCAGGTCACTCAAGCCATTCTAGAAAGCTGGTCAAATTAGTTAACCTTGGTGTCCAGTGTTACTAGAGTAATTTGAGAGCCTGGGTACATGAGATCAGAGAACTCAGGGAACCTAGGGAAAGACTGTGAACTCCGAATTAAGTGGCATAGTACCTAACACAAAATTTATTCTGCAGAATTGTAATAATAAATATCAAAATATAACATACACTGAGATTTAGAGGTTTCTGGTTTTATCATTCAAAAAAAAGTCCCAAGCTGCATTGGTATGTATCTTGTGTTCTTTTGAAATGTCTGGAATCTTGGACAAATTGAGAACAAAAGGTATACCACAGGTTTGCCAGGCTACAGCACTTGAACAGAACAATAATTCTGCCTTTATAATTCATAAATGACACTTACTTGGTTTTTATGCTTTAAAGGGTATGCCTTACAATGAAAGAAATGGAATGAGCAGCTTATATAAACTGCAGGTATTTTTCTTTAATGTTAATTGTTTTTTTTCAATCCACACCTAATTTCGGCCCAACTCAACTTTTAAACTTGCTGTTACAGGGAGGTGCGAGTGTCGCTAGTTATCCAGGTCCACCAGGACCTCCGGTAAGTATTATCAGAAATCTAAGTTCTAAGAGCTAATTGACATAGTAATAGGGAGATTGGTTGGTGTGGAATTTGATTTTATATTGAAAGATTGAAAAAATAAGTGTATGATTGGTATGTAGAAAATTATATAGAGTCTGTGAATTTATGCTTATTAAGTATTTTAGCACATTTTGGAGAGTAATTTATTTTGATTTAAGTATTTTGTCCTAGCAAGTAAAGGCTGCAGAAGTGGTACAGAATTTTGCATTGGACTCCTTAGTGAAAGTATTCTAATATCTAAAAACATGTAATATTGTATTTACAGTTTGTGATGGCATAGCTTCATAGTGGATTAAATTTGGTGCCAGAAATGAGAAGCTCGTGAAGTCTGATCTGAGTTCTGTCACTGATTCACTGTTTCTAGCTACAGTGAAGAAAAATGTGCAAACCCAGGAATTATATTGTGGCAGTAATACAGGGCTGGTGTCTGCCATGCTGTAGAGTGCAAATGCACCACTTTGCAGCTGGACACTGCTGCTTTGGTTCTTTGGAGTCAGAGATACTGTACATTTATTTTACATCCTCCTCCTTGTTAGCATCATAGGCAGGTTCTACTGTTTTGAGATGATTGTCATTTTGTAACCACATAAATATGTTGTAGCCATCAGTGAGGACTTTGTCCTTACATTATGTGCCATTTATGGTTGTGGCCTGGCACCAAAGTACAGAGCTGTCTTTCTCTGTATTCTGGAACAGCAAAACAAAACCCAATATATTAAGATTTTATGCTAAATTAGTCAACTGAGAGGGCTGGAATTAATGCTGATTCTAAATGCACTGCATTAGCAAAGTATACTCATAATGCCATCATTAAAAATATCATCTTATTGTGTAAGACATTCTTTAAATGTGTTTCCACTTTGGTTTGTTTCTGCAGGGTCCAAAAGGAGATCCTGGAACAGTGGTATGTATGTCTTTTTTGGTCTTAATAGAAAATTCCCAAAGTAGTTTGACACATGATAGTAATTACAAGGGTAGAAGAGTCTATTTGTATTCTTTAGCAGGTAGCTTACCTCCTGAAGAATCAGTACGCCTGAAAAAGCCTTTTTAATTGCCAGGCTTGTGAATTTTGCAATTTTGGTAAATTTTCTAAGTGAAAATGTAATGAAGGACTGAACATAGTATTAACAGCTTATGGATTCATCTCTGCTGAGCTGTTTCTGGATATATCCAAGACCAAAGAAGGTGAAATAAAGGCAGAAAATACCTTCAGAGCTATTAGATTGTTCTCAGTATTAAATTTGAAAGTGATAATGGTCAAGGTACAGTGTGTGCTACATCATGCCAGCTAGTAACAACTAGAAGTTGATATTTTCTTCAAAAATGGCATGATGGCTACTTACAGTAAGATCACATTGCTTCTTGTGAGCAAGAGGATGATGACCATAGGAGCCACTATACCTTTCAACTATGCAGTTTGACATTCAAAAGCACATCTATTTAACTTTTTGATTTATTTTTTTCGCATTAAACAGTGTTATGTCCTTTTTATGTGATTGTTCTTTAAACATTATGAGGAGGGGAAAGACAAGTAAGGGAAGAATCTTGAACAGTTGCATAGCACTATCTGCCAGCAGAATGTAGATCCAAACCCTGAATGGGCGTACATTTTCCAAAGTCCTTGCCTTTATAATAGAGAAACTGTATTTGTGATCATCTTGCAGTGTGTTGCTACAGTTCCTAGACTTGAAGGTGGAAAAGTTGAAACTCACAGGTATTGTGTCTTGATGGCTGGACATCAGTGCAAATACCCAGAAGATAATAGTAACACTTGAGTGTTGATGGTTGAGCCCAAAAAGTATAATAGTATCAAATATCATTTTAAATTAATATTGTTTTTAAAATTGGGTAAATACTTCCACAACAGTTAAAATTCTAATAAATTTTGTACTAATTTTTTGAGTCTAAAGAATGTCACATAACTGCAGAATTATTGTTACAGCACTATAACACTGCAAAGCAATGAAACAGATGCTGTTCCTTCGTGATTAGTGTGGTAGAACTGTGTCCAGCAGGCCTCTTTTGAACTTCAGGCAATATGACTGAAATGGGATGAGTACTATATGTCAGATAATGGAAACTGATGCAAAAAATTTACCGATAAAATCAGTAGAAGCCGAGGTGGTTAGGAAAGGAAACTGTCCCCAGTCATGCTGTGTTCCCCATGGTCTGCTGGTAAATTGTCTACTTGATAAAGATCAGGAAACCCTGAAAAAATATTGGAGATCATTTTTGAAACAAAATCATGTCCCTTCCAGCAAAGCAAATAACATCTCTGCCTCCTACTAGTGAATCAAATTACTGCAGGGTTCCATTCAGGAGTTCATTCAACCACCAAGAAGCTGACATTTGACCTCTTCAACTGCTGTCCTGTCTTCAAATTGTTAGTCTTAGGCATAATAAATAAGGAGATGGTTCAGCCAACATCTTGAATGCATGATAATAAAGAATCAGGGTCAGAGGAGAACACACGGATTGTTTATATGTCACTGGAGACTGGCCTTGTCTGAACACATCAGGCCACAATACTTGGGAGATGATGATGTGTCTTGTTGAAGGGTTCTTGTCTTCTAACTTGGGTCCATATTATGGAATCTTTGTCTTCAGTATCAGTGTGAAATTACTGAGGAATGTCTCTACTCATGAAAATAGCATGCCAGTACCACTTAGATGTACCTTTTTTCCTACAAGTGAAGGCACAATATCTACACAAATATAGTAGCAGAATTAAGTGCAGCCAGCTCACACTGACCCAACCAAGATCAAAGTGGTATAGGAAGGTTATATCTTTAAGAGCTGGCTTGGACTTCATCTGTTATGAAGGTGCATAATCTCCACTCAGCCAGCTCATGCAGGGTTTAGGAATATGTTTGATTCCTTGCCAAGTGTTAATGGAAAGTCAGCTACATGAAAAAGTATATTTTGATTTATGAACCAAAGTGATAACTATGCTTGTCAAGGACAAGAAACCCAAATGAAAACCCCTCAGCAGTGACAGCAAAACATGGAGTTGTGAGATAGTTTCCTAAAACAGTTGAATAATCTGTTTTCAAAAGAACTCACAAACCTCTTCTTTTTCACCATAATGCCCAGAAGCTGAATACATCTTTCTGTATCAGTGTCCACTTCCTACTCAGGAAACACCAGCTACCAAGCAGAGTTTAGGTGTGGGAAGAGAGATCTGTCAGAGACTTCAAGAAATCCAGCCAGCAATTTGCCATGGCTTTTGATTTAACTGACAATTGCTGAAATACTGGAGTTGTTTGCTGTAGTTTAAATCTCCATGATAAATTATCAATTTTCCTTCAAAAAACAATTAATAGGGCTTCCCCTCTCTACATGTTAACCTGATTTCTCTAGTGGAGCATGTTTCTGGTTTTCTTTCAAAACTTGAAAACCTACCCAGGGATCCAGTCTGTGCATCCCTTGTTGCAGAGTGACCTTTGTTCAGGGAGCAGAGCACGGAATTGCTTGGAGTTTGGTTCTCTGATTGACAGTGTATGCTTACATCCCAAGGCTCTGCTGCCTGGAGATGCTTTAGAGGTGACCTTGACTTGCAAGAGCACTGAAGTGGAGTCTTCTGGATTACATTCTTCATCAAAATTAAACCATTGATCCAAATATTCAGACAATGCCTCTGAGAAAAATTTAATTTACAGATCAGTAAAATAGAGTATAACAAAATCTGTTCACCTAATAACTGGTTAGCTGTTTTACTAATCTCAGGTTAAATAATCTGCTGTTGCTTGCTGTTCAACATTTCTCAAGTAGAGTACTGAAATTCTAATGTATACAATCTATTTTAATTTTTAAAAAAATCAGGGAGACCCAGGACCAATGGGCTTACCAGGACTGGAAGGACTCCCAGGGGAAAAGGTAGGACTCTTAAAAAGAAGTAATGGTGGCTTCTTCTTAGTGGACATTACCTGCAACTAAATGTCTTCTGAAACTATGTTTGAATTTTTTTTGTGTATTAACGATTCTGTGTGAAAAAATCTTGGCATATTTATCTATACTTTTTTGCTTTATTGTGAATCTAAATCATAGACTCATCCAACATAACATTTCATTTTCTGCAAATGGAAAAGTCTGTGTGGGAGGTCTTGTAATATTTTGTTGTCTTAACTTGGTAGAACACTTCTGTACTTGATAGTAATATAGTTAACATGTTTCTCTGTATGGTCGCTAATTCCTGTTCTCTATCGAACATTGTCTTATGCTTGCATTCCATCTGTCTTGTTCTCAGCCTTTTGCTTGCTAGTTGTGGAGGCCGATTATGAATTTAGCTTGTCATGAAATGCTAAAAATGTCAGTATTTTGATATTCATTTCTAAATATGGCAAAGTACAAAACATCAGAGAAATGAAAAAATCCATAAATATGCTTTCTGTCAGCAAAACCAATTTGATTTTGCCCATCAATTTAAGAAGAAAAATGAGTAAATTCTTTTGCAAATGAAGTATTTGTTCAGCTTTTTTAATTACATTATTCAATGACTTCATACAAAAATAGTTTACTGAAACTTTTTTCACCAAAAAGCAATGTAAATTAAAGTTTCTCTCTTGATATCACTGTGCATTACTGCTACTTGTGCAGAGTGGGGAGTGACACGATCTAAGGTAGATGTTTAAATTACGTGAGATGATTCTTGCTCTGTAATACTTCAATTTACAAGCAAATAAGAACTAGTCTGATTTCAAAATGAACAAACACAGGGAGATATTACAGGCCTAACTTAGACAAAGTGGGGACAGGAATTAAATAAAGGGAATAAGCAATGGATCAAATTGTATAAACCAGCTAAGTGAGTGTTTGGCCCTTTCCCAGAGGAAAAATATCTTTTCCTTAACTAAATTTGGTCAAAATTCCACATTTCTGGTGCAAATAAATGAACAGAATCTTGGAGCCTGCCAGTCCCAACAGTATAATGCATACTGGTTTTTAATATAGAGCTATTATGCACCTCTGTGCAGCAGAATTTCATCTTCCACAGACAAATGTTTGCTATAATTTCATGATAATTTCATGAACTGGTTTAAGAACTTTATGTCCTCTGGATAAAATGTCCCTTCCCTCAGCTGTGCTGACACAGTGTTTTGTGCAGCCATGCTGCAAACCACATTGCTGAAAGCATCACAATAACCCTGAAAAAAAAAAAAGAAAAGAAAAAGTTGCAAGGGCAATGTTAGGAATTTTCAGTTTTGTCATCAGGGCCACCATACAGGGGAAACACCGCAAGTTCTGGGTCTAGAATAACCACTGGGACAGTGTGAAGTGGTCCAGACAACATGCCCTGCCTGATGCAGATAGTGCTCACTGTTCCAGAGGTGCATGTTGTGTCCCTCACTGAGGGACAAACATGCATTAAGGAACTTCTCTCAGCCTCCACAGCAGGAGAGGTTGAACTGTGGCCTGTAAGCAAGTTGCTTCCTCTGGACATGAGGTCAGACACTTAACTTGTCATCTGTCTACACTTCGTGTAACAGAGTTGTCTTTTTAATTAGCAGCATTGCCATTGTGCACCTGAGCAAAATTATGAGAATGAGACAAAACAGCATTAGTTACAAGAACAGAAACCAGAAATACCAACACTCCCTGAGGCTCTTCTGCACAGCAGAACATGTGTGTAGCTGTGCTGGCAGAGCTTTAGCAAATCTGCTTCAGGTAATATAAACTCATCTCAGAAAAATATTGGCCTGTTAGTATGGCTTTAACAGTACCAGGACTTTTCTGACATGAATATAGAAGCTAGGACCCTAATGTTTTCTTACATTTTTAACCAGTATTACAGTAGCAAAGCGTAGTGCTGCAGACCAACACACGTCAGCAGTGGGTTAGAGCAAATACTGCTGTGTAGAGTTTTACCACTGTTGACCTCTGTCTGCTTTGGTTTATAGACCTCTCAAGAAAGATGAATTTATGCACATAACTCATCACCTCCAGCAAAAAAATACCCCATTGTCTTAGCTTAAAGCATAGATGAAGATGGGTGTATGCTAAAATGAGGACCTTTGCCCAGAAAGGGCCATGGCACAAGCGAATTGAGGATGCTGACTTTTAGTAAATGAATGAGCGGGTTGCAGGAAGGCAAAATCTTCTTTGAAAGACACATCTTAAACATGGGATTGTTGACATGAAAGTGAATTACCCTGTGTGAATTTTGGTCATTGTCATGACTACAAATTGTAATTATTTGGACAACTTCAGATAAATCAGGGACTTTCCATCCCTTTTCAAGGGAGGCCTGAAGCAGAATCAAAGGGATAGCATAGAAACATAATATAAGAGAACCTAAACAAAGGATTTTGGTTACTTGCTCAGGTCTGTAAAATGAGCCACTGGCAGAGATAAATATTAGCATTTAGCAGAGCCTGGCTCTTGTCCCCATTTTCAGTTCACTGAATAATTCTTCCTCAGGTTTTAATGGGAATACACAAACAAACTTCTGTTTTGATTGTTGCCATTTAAGTATAGATTTATCTTTTCTTCAGGGTGACCGTGGACCAGCCGGCACACCGGGAGTAGCAGGGACACCGGTATGTATGTTCATTAAGGAAAACTCAGGTTTTTAGAAGCTGAAAAAGCAGGTCAAGCAAGATGCTGAGCTGTAATCTCTACCACTGTGGGACATGAGTACTTGGCTTATACTTTATAGGCAGGTAGGAAGATTCTGTTTTTCCTAAAGAAATTAGATTTTTAATAGCATTGAGGGTTCATATTATTATTAAAATGACAGGAGGGAGTGGTGTGAATACATGATAAAGCTGGAATTTGAAGCTGCATATGCTTAGCTAAGAAAGAATATGAGATTCTTCTCATTGCCTCTATTTAATATAGATAAAGACTTTTTCTGTGTTCATGGGCATGCACAAATTTCTGAGCATCTTTCTATCACAAAGAAAAGTTATGAACACTAGTTATTGCAATCCACAAGGATCTGCATATCAAGTCAATCAAACATTTGCTTTAGGGAAATGCTTTGTCAGCTATTTACATGTGGTATTCAGAGAGATTTCTGAAAGTCATCCAGAAACTTTGTTGTAGGTGAAAGTAAATGTAACTAATGATAAATTGAAATTATAATTATTCATTTGTGTTCCTAAAGGAAATGAATACATTATATTGCATTCACAGTTTAATAAAAAAGTTTATCCATATTTCAGGAGGCAATATGGAGTTATTTATATGCAAATAGATTTATTATTAAATTTGGGCAGCTACCAATCCATTTAGGAGCTGTTTAAATTATAAATATGTGTTTCATGAAATAAAAAGAATTTTGTGTCTATGCACTGTCATTTCCATTAGCCACTGATTTAGTCTATTTACTGTGAGTTCTAAGAGAGAACATGATCTTAAACAGCTTAATTTCATTAGGTTCTCCTAAAGCAAATTGCACACAAAGGAAAAAGAGAAGTATTTCTCTGAGTTTTGTAGCAGATGTAAGAGTTTCAAAGTTTGTTACTCTGAAATATATTTCACACTGTGAATAATAATGCAGTAGCTGGTTAGGATTATCACAGTTGTTCATTCCCTGTGTATTTCCAAGTCATTGGATGTTGTCTATTCAAGTTGGATATGAAATATTTAATGAGGTCCCTTCATCACTGATGGAGTTGCATTCTGTTGATTATATTTAATTCTAATAAAATCCACCGAAATAAATTATTTCCTCCTGAAATTAATTGTTTCCTTTTATATTTTATGCTAAGAAGTTTTAATTAACAAATTAATAGACATATGAAAAACAACCTTTTCAGTAACCTAGGAAGAGTGTGAAACATATCCACATATCCTACTGGAAAATAATTTGTGTTCCTTCCCTGTCATTATTCCCTAGATTGAATAGTGGACTCTTTTTCCCATCTGAGAATATAAACCTGTTATTTACACTTTGGCACTTTGCTGAGATTGCTGGGATTATGAGGGAAGCTTGGGCTGAGATTCTGCAAGCATTGCCATCAATGCCTATTTCCTCAGCACTTATCCTCAGTCCTGTTGTTCCCAAAGTTGTCACTGATGTTGATGTGTTTGATTCCTCACTTGTACAAGTCAGCTGAGGATCTGGTCTGATGCTATTTCTGGGAAATGTAGATTGAAGTTGTTAAAAGAAAACCTATATATATATATAAAGAGAGAAAAAAAGAGACATTTAAAATTAGCATCTAAATGATGAGATGAGAGAGGATTGTGAGTTCTGACAGGCTGAACATAAAAGAACAATAAAAGAGGCCAAAAAACAGAATGAAGAAATTTTGCAAAAGACATTAAGTCAGTAATAAAGTCACACACACACAAAAAAGTTAGGACTAGGAAGGACCTTAATCTTGATTTTACATATACCGTGATAAACTTTGATCTGCCTATGACTTCTCCTTGTGGAAATCGTGGTGTTGTAAAAGAAAACCTCATGAAAACATTATCTCAGTATTCAGAAAGTGTAAAGAAAACCCAGGGATTGAGTAACGTTGTACAAAAGAGCAAGATTTTTCATTTAATAATGAACAAGAACATGAATATTTCATTCACATATATATTTTCTCTTATTTTTTACCTGGAGAAAAATTCTATTTTGCTTCCTAGTAACTTGAATCTGTAATATTCTGTTTGCAGGGAAAGCCAGGATCTCCTGGGTCCCCAGGGATGCCAGGGGAACCTGTAAGTACAGATTTTAGTTCTGGACTCTTATGATAATACACAAATATTTCAAACACCTAATGCAAGATTTTACTGACAGATTTATATGCATTTTCTTCTTTCTTAGGGTGAAAGAGGACCTATAGGAGATATAGGCTTCCCTGGTCCAGAAGGGCCACAAGGAAAACCAGTAAGGAATTTTATACTGAATATATACAAAAGGATGTTTTAGTTTATCAGAAGTTACACAAGAAATGACATTACATGTTGCTTTGTGTTAGGTAATATCTGAAGAACACATTGAGCTGTAGGGCTCAGTATTAACCATCCAGAAAAGAATTCCTGGTATTGTGGTGTTTTAATAGTTAATTTTACTGAGATGTTGCCTTTAAAGGTCTTATGAAGGTCATTTGGATTTTGTTGAGATAAAGGTTCCTCTAGTAGTTTTTCCAGGGGGGGAATATGAACCCAGAAATTTAACACAGTCTATAAAGGATGGGGTGACAGAATACATTCTCAGTTTCAGTTTAGATAGAGAAGCATGTGCTTCATGACTCTGAATAAACTTTTGGCTCTTCTTTATACAGGTGATTCAACACTGCAACTGAGGCATTTACTATTCACTTAAGATGTGTCTAATCTGACCTGTTTATTTAATGAAAGTGTGACAGCAGTGTGGTCCACACTGTCCAAGATGGTTTAAAACAACCTATTTTATATTCTATAAGGGTTTAGCTAGAATAGCACATAATTCATTTTCTCCCCAGAAGCCTGGTGTTTTGGGGATGAGCATGAGAAGGAGACCATTGCAGCTTGTCAGCACAACCACACATTACACTTCTGCCTTGAAAGAAGAGACAATTTCTGTAGCTTCAGCAGCAAATTAGCCCAAGGTGCCTAATCTGTATAAAACTCCACTTTGCAGTTTAAGAGGGAAAGAAATATTCCTGATGTCCTCATGCAAGTCCTTTTTTCCTCACTCAGTGAAACAGCAGTGAGTTTGCTGCATGTGCAAATACATATACATCCTACTAAATTAAGCAGTGCCAGAGCATTTATCTTGAAATTATCTGGCATTGTGCAATTGTTAATATACTCTCTGACATTATTTTGGCCCATACCAATTAGGACTCTTAGATGGACCCAGTTCTATTTAATATCTTTATTGATGATCTGGATGAGGGGATTGAGTGTACCATTAGCAAATTTGAAGATGACACCAAGTTGGGGGGGGAGGGGCACGTTGATCTGCTGGAAGGCAGGAAGGCTCTTCAGAGGGACCTGGACAAGCTGGAGAGATGGTCTGATTCCAACAGGATGATGTTCAACAAGGCCAAGTGCCTGGTCCTGCACTTTGACCACAACAACCCCTTGCAGCGCTACAGGCTGGGGACAGAGTGGCTGGAGAGCAGCCAGGCAGAAAGGGACCTGGGAGTTTGGATTGACAGGAAGCTGAACATGAGCCAGCAGTGTGCCCAGGTGGCCAAGAAGGCCAATGGCATCCTGGCCTGGATCAGGAGCAGTGTGGCCAACAGATCCAGGGAAGTGATTCTTCCCCTGTACTCAGCACTGGTGAGGCCACTCCTGGAGTCCTGTGTCCAGTTCTGGGCCCCTCAGTTCAGAAAGGATATTGAGGTGCTGGAGCAGGTCCAAAGAGCAATAAGGCTGGTGAAGGGACTCGAGCACAAGTCCTATGAGGAGAGACTGAGGGAGCTGGAGTTTTTTAGTCTGGAGAAGAGGAAGCTCAGGAGAGACCTTATTGCTCTCTATAACTCCCTGAAGTGAGGTTGTAGCCAGGTGGGCGTCGGTCTCTTCTCCCAGGCAACCAGCAGTAGGACAAGAAGGCATGGTCTTAAGCTCTGCCAGGCAAGGTTTAGGTTGGATATTAGGAAGAAATTTGTATGAAGAGAGTAATCAGACATTGGAATGGGCTGCCCAGGGAGGTGGTGGATTCACCGTCGCTGAGGGTTTTTAAGATGAGACTGGATGTGGCACTTAGTGCCATGGTCTAGTAACCACAACAGTGTTGGATCAAGGTCTTTTCCAACCTGGTTGATTCTATGATTCTATGATAATGCCACACTCCAGTTTGGAGGATAACATAGGCCTGGAACAGTTTCCAGCAAGACGCATGAATGAGAGCACCCTCTTTTGGGAAGGAAATAGGTTTAGCCCAGGAGACCAAAACTGTGCTGTGCTAGAAGTCCTAAGAACCAGGGAGTGGAGCTAGCCACTTAATATTAAGGCATAATCTCTGCAGCAGCAGAGGGGTAATAGGGGATCAGGGCTAATATCTAGAATAAGAGAAATCTCTTCTATGGTTATATAATGACTACCTGGTACTGAAAAAGTGCATGTACATTTCCATATAACACATCATTTAAAGTTGAATGCTCATAAAATTTGATGCACATCTTGATGGGGTTTGTATTTCTATATTATAACCACACACACTTCTGCCTCTGCAAACTTTAGAATATTTACTGATGTGGCACCAAATATTGAGCTTTAGCCCTTATATTTTTAAAATACTTAAGACTATTTATTTTAAAATTGTTGTGTTTTGTCTTTTTTTTTCTAGGGAATCAATGGAAAAGATGGATTGCCAGGTCCTCCGGTAGGAAAACAAGTTTTTTTGTATTTTATTCTTTACAGATACCATAGCTGTTAATTCTAGGCAGTTGCTTTCAGTTCTGCTAACAAATGAATATACAACAAAGCCTTTAATTGATAGGTTTATCTTTTTTCGAAAACCATTTTTCAGGGTGCTGTGGGGAGACCAGGAGACAGAGGACCCAAAGGAGAACGTGTAAGTCCCCTATTATGATAACTTTTTCTCTTTTTACTGAGCATTTAAGCACCTCATCATCACATATTTTATAGGCAAAACCAAAAACTTAATTCTTTGTATACATCAAGCAGTCTCTTAACACCTAATATGTTTAGTCCTAGATACAACTTTAAGGAATTAGAGTTGAATTGTCTTCTGCATTTGGAGGAAAAACACATTTTATAGACTTTCTAACACAGTTGGCCTGAAAAGTGTAAATTGATGAATCAGTTGAAAAATTGAAATGCAGCTGATCTTGTGGTGTTGTCAGACTTTGCAAAAGCTGTGAACTTGCCCTATTGTCATCCTTGGGATGTCATAAACACAAATCATGTTTTATATAAAACAAGCTTGTCACACTTAGGCAGCAGAAATGCCAATGCTGTGCCTTACTGCTTCCCAAACTCTTTAGACAGTTCTGTTTATGGTAACAAGATTGTGGTGGACAGGAATGATTACAGGAGTTGAGAGATGAGTTATTTTATGTGTGTGTGTGTGTGTATATATATATACACACACACACACATATATATGAGATGCTCTTATTATAATGTTGCTAAAGCCCTGATGTCCTAATCCAATGGATAGCACATTTGTCTGATGAATCAGAAAAGCATCTCCCTGTGTAATGTGGAAAAGGAAGTGCTGCTTTATGACACTGAAGAGACATGAGGTTTTAACCATTATTACAGTTTTCAGTGTTCTGGGTTTTGCCTTTAAGGACACAGGCCTGCATCTGTGAGAGATTGAAGTGAATACAGAAAATAAAGTCAAGGTTTTCTTGCAGCCACTATTATTACTGCTGTGCACCATACTCCTTCAGTTTGAGATCAGCTGTTACTGTTACGGAAAAGAGAAGCAAAAAAAATTCAAATGACAGAATAAAATTCTTGAGGTTTTCATGTCTAATAAAAGTATGTCCTCATGGAGTCCATTTTAAGAAGGGATAAGCCACCTGGGCTGAAATAATCTTATATACCCTTGGAGTGACTAAACACTGCTGTTCTTATTACTTTATAAACTGAGTGACAAAGTAGTTGAAAATATGTGATTTATACCAATCAGAAATGCAGTTTTCAAGTCATTTCAACAGATAAAAGTACTAGTGGCTGGCTCATTTATTGCTATTGTCTGCATACCTTGATCACAGACTGTGAGCCTGCTGGACAAGAGCATGTAGAAATCCAGGAAAAACAGTAGTTCCTTCTGCATAGAACTTAGTAGAAGATAAAATGTAAGAATTGGGAGAACACTAGAAGGGAGGAGGACTGAATAAATCAGCACCTTATGCAGAGATCATAAAACACAAAAGTCCTGAGTTTTGTACAATTCACCGTGGAGCATTTAAAAAGGAATCTGGAGGAAGATATGACCTAGTTTTCTGTATTTTTACAAGGACCTTCTTCAAAACACAAAGAAAACACTGAAGGCAGTTAGAAACGCTTGTTTGAAAAGTTGCTGTAGTATTTGATTTACTTCCTACACATTGGCAGCCTGTAAAATGTGAATTGTTTAGAAGAAGAGGATCAACTTCAAACTGCCATAGCACCGTGGTCCAAGAGAAACCTGCCTTTTTCTTTATCTCTACTAGAAAAGCTATCTATACCTTCTCTGCAGGGTTATAAACCTGAGAAATGTATATCATAGAATCACAGAATGGCCTGGGTTGTAAGGAACCTTAAATAATATCTAGTTCCAACCCCCCTGCCATGGGCAGGGGCACCTTTCACAAGATCAGGTTGTCCCAAGCCCCATCCAGCCTGGCCTTGAACACTGACAGGAGTGAAGTACCCACAACTTCTCTTACAACCTGTTACAATACCTCACCACCCTCACAGTAAAACATTTCTTCCTAATATCGCATCTAAACATTATTTCTTTCAATTTAAAGCCAGAACACTTGTCCTATCACTACATGCCCTTGTAAAAAGTCCCTCTCCAGCTTCCTTGTAGGCCCCCTTTAGGTACTAAAAGTAACTTGTGTGCTAGTTGTCTCTTTGATTAACTAAAGTTTTGTGTAAATGAAGGCATAAAATATTAGGCTTCTATGGAAAGTTACAGGGAAAATCCTGGTGCCCTGTGCCTGTGTGAATTTGAGCACCTAAATTTTACTATGCCATAACTGACATTTCTAGATCCTTGTAAGGGCTAAAACTTTCTGTACCCAAGTCCTGTCCCTGAAAAGTGGGTTACAGAGTCAAGCTATTCTTTCTGTCATTGACTTCAACATCAAAAACGTAAGAAAACATTTTCAGAGACAAGGTTTAACCTATAAAATCAGCTTCCCCTCATGACTCAGTCTATTTCTGAACAGGCGAGAATTTTCTCTTCAGAATTCTTGGCTGACTTTTCCAGGTTTGTTCCACTAGATGCAATTATTTTCTTTCCACTTTTGTTTTACATAGGGAGATCAGGGTATTCCAGGGGACAGAGGTCCACAGGGTGAACGAGGGAAACCTGGCCCTACAGGAGAAAAGGGAGATGTGGGTCCTGTTGGCCCACCAGGAGACAGAGGCTATCCAGGATCACCAGGTCATCAAGGTCCCCCAGGTTCACCAGGACCCCCAGGGTTTCCAGTAAGTAAATAGAAGTTTACTTTGGTTGCTTGGGAGTTCATGCAACGTGAAGGTAGCATGTGCTGAGCAGTGCAAATTTAACTGAGCAATACTACAGTCTTAGAAAAACTGAGGCTTTCTCTCAGATAATTTCAGTCTTCAGGTAAGGGGTGGAAAAATATATCCAGATGATCTGGCAGTTATTTTTAATAATTATTTTAAAATGTCTGCTATGAGTGAACTTTAATTATTTACTTGTTTAGTTCCTTCATATCAATATGGCTACTCAGTACAGTTAATTTTCACATTTTCTGTAAGCTTAAGAGCTAGAGTGTAAGTCTTTGCAAATGGGAAAAAAAAGGAGGCAGACAAAATTTATTCTCAGTTGAAGGGAAATCAGAATTAAAAAGACAGTGAAATGCTGCTTGTCAGTTGCAGATATCTTAGTTTGTCTCCATGTGCACATAGGCACACATCCATGTTATGGATACTTTTTAACCTCAATTAGATAAAGTAAAGCTAAAAAACTTTTCCAGTGATGTTATTGGTGCTGTGGTTCTGTTCTTGTTGGCTGTGCATCAAAGCAGTTAGTCCCTAGAGGGGGTGAGAAGTTGGCAGGTGCTATGCAAAAGGCAAGTGAAGCATAGTTGTGTCACTGGACAACCTTACTGTCTTGTGCAGGTTAATTTCCATACACGTAACATGCTGGTCATCTTGACAGCTGGGTGTGCCTCTTCCACTTCATGGCATTAGTATCTTTATAATATTATAATGTATTTGCAGTAAAGTGGCCTTTGCAGTTAAGTAAATAACACAAATATATTAAAACACTTATTTGTTGATGAAAGGTTTATATTTTTAATGCTAATTTCAGCATTTTTTATTTTTGTAGCATCATAAAGTTCACTCTGTATGTTCTTTCTGATACATATCACCTTTCTTTTTCCTCATCAGGCTGATGCAGTTTCACTTGAAGAAATAAAAAAATATATCAAACAAGAGGTTCTTAAGGTTTTTGAAGGTGAGAAAATGAAGTATTATACAACTAAATATAAATCTTAAATTGTGCTTGAAATTTCTTTAGATGTCATCTAACTTAAGCAGCTGCCTTGTTGCTGTAGCTATGTTGAACGAGTCTACATAATTCTGTTTAAACAATTAGAAGCTATAGTATCTGTTAACCAGAGTATTTCCTTATGTAAAAGATTAACATTAAAAGGTAGTCTGCTCCAAATCATAATACCAAGCATAGGTATGTATCACTGTAGTTAATATATGTATCATATTTTATTGCAGATACATATGTATCTACAACATATCATTAAGACACTGAAGAGTTACTAAAGCAGAGACAATAGAAATATCTAATTTTTTTGCCCTCTTAGTGAGTGACTATTTAAATGAAAGGAAGGCTTGATAGCTTTCAGTCATCCTGGTTTAAACTGCTGTGCGGTTTGCTCAGCAAATATCCCTGCTGAGTTCCACAGCTCCCTTGCAAGATCAACATCTTCTGGCCCAGTTTCAGGCTAATACCAGATTCAGCCACGGCCTTTGTATTATGTAAGATTTCTTAGATGTCTGAGTCCATACTCTGAAAAGGAAATATTTTTCTTCCCCAGCATTTCCTTAGTCATGGTTGCAAAGCTGTGACTCAGGTAGGTGTTTGAAACAAGATTCTGCTTGAACACCCCTTAACAGTAGCTTCTCTTCCATTGCAAAACACATTTCTTATGTCTTCAACTTCTCTATTTTGTCATTAATATTTGTGGATAAAACCCATTTTATCTTTTAGGGATAAAAGAAATAATATGAAGCTTGGGGCTTTTTAACCTGTTCAGGCAGTTTTTCACTTTATAACAAGGCTATCATTTTGTGTATTTTCACCCTTCCCCAGATTGCTATCCCTCAGGAGTTCAACTTGCTATGTATTTCAAGAATAGTTTGTTGGCTGAAGTCACCTCCTTCTCCCATTTAAATAGTATTTAGTCTATTCACAGAAAGAAGGTGCCCTGCCTACAGGGAATAATGGAGTTTTGTCTTTGTAGCCATTGCATTTTCTACACCTCAGCAGTGTTCCCACAGATCTTCCATTTTTTGACATTGTTTCACTTTGCCTGCTTTCTGTCACCTTGCTTCTTTTTTGTTTGATGTCCACTCTATTCTGATTTTTTTCTTGAATCTTAAAACTCCACCACAGAAAATACATACTATGTTATATAATGTTTAGGTTTTTAATCTGTTTTTTAAAAGAGACAGAGTCAAGATTAATACCTATTTTTTCTGTCTCTAATGAACACTAAAATGTTACCAAGTGCACTTTATTCCACCAGCGTGAACAGTTCATCCTGAAATATCTGCAATTAATAATCTTTGCTGAGAACTTTGAGGTTTTTTCGCAACTGTTTTCAGGGTTTCAGTACATTCCAAGAACCTTTCTTGGTATTTAACCTCTGCTTTGCAACTTAATATGAGTTATGAACATATGAGGTAGCCCTTCGTAGGTGTACTAAGTAATAATTATTCTGTGTTTATGTATTTTAAGTACTTCCATGAACAGGAGTCAGAAGTCATTTGAAAAGTTGAAACATTAGTAATAGAGATTAGTAATAGAAACTTTAATACAAATTCATTCTGATTATTTCAAAGGGTAAAGACTCAGACATGAGTCTGAGTTGGAACTGAAGGTCTCAGTGGTATTGGAGTATTCAATACCTTGACGTTAAGAAGGACTGAACACCTTACTTCCAGAAAATTTAGCTGGTACTTTGGGATTTACCTGTCATTTGCTAGCAGATTTCTTACTCACTTTTCCTTGTGTCTTTTATTAATGAAGAAAGGATGGCTCAATTTGTATCCCAGCTGAAGCTGCCTGCTGCGATGCTTGCCTCCCAAGCTCATGGTAAACCAGGGCCCCCAGGAAAAGATGGGTCACCAGGGCCACCAGGAAATGATGGTTTACCAGGGCCACCAGGAGAACGTGGAATTCAAGGTAGGAATTCCAAAAAATGTTCCCATAAATTCTATCTAAAAATCCATGTACACTTGCTAATGATTAAGTAAGCCAGGACTACCTATCTAGCTTCCTAATGATTAACTTTTAAACTTATGTACTTACATTTTTCCAGACTAGATCTAAATATTAACCCATAGTAAATGTGTGGATTTTACTGATTAAAAACTCCTAATCAGTGCATTTTATTCTAATAAGTGATAAAGTTAATTATTGACAGATATCTAAAGCTGACGGAACTACTCTAGCACTTATTTTTTTCCTCCAAAATATGTTAATAAGGAAGAAAAACTGTGCCAGCACTCTAACTGTTTAGATCTTGCTCCATATTGACAGACAATCTTATTTATGAAAGAAAATTTGATCATCCAGTCTGAGTGCTATCAGCTTTGATCCTGAGACAACACAGGGGAGGAAAAACTCTTTTAGTTAGAAGCAAATACTCTTTTAGAAGTAAAACTGAAGTATTACCACATGAGTTCTTCTTACCATGAATAAATCTATTTTCACAAAAAAATGCAGTGTAATCAGCTTTTTGCTATCCCCCAAAGGGTAATTTGTGCATTGCAATGCATTGGGATAGTACAGGACTTCCATTTCACTGAACTGTCTTTTACTGCAAAATTGGCTTTGAGGGATCCATTTTCATTGTAGTTGTGCTCTGTTGTAGAGTCAGCCTCTCAGAGATTAAAAGGTAGTGGACAACAGGCTAAAAGGAAAAAAAGAATTTATCAATGAATAGTATTTTTGCGTGTGTAATATGTAATTTGCAGTTTATCTGTAGGTAGTTCTTTATTATCTTTTGTTAGTTTGGTCTGCTCTGAAGTCAGACCAAGTCAGACTGGAATGAAGAAAATGAGTGCAAAACTGAAGATGTGTGGATCCTAAAGCTATCAGAAGAACAAAGACTTACTAACATTGATAAGCACAAACCCCTGACAGAAGCTTGAAAAATGTCATGAGATCAGAATGAGAAGAACAAGAATAAAGGATCAAGGAAACCAATAAAAGGCTTAGAATCTTACAACACTGACTTCATCGTTACCCAAATATTCAGATTGCCATAAATAATCCATTTCACTGTCAGTGCCAGATTGTTCAATGATGATGTATGTGGTGAATAGTCTCAGATGCTTCTGGGAAGTGAAACGTTGTACTAGATTTCCTTTCCACCTAGTCAGCATAAAGAGTAAAAGATGACAGCTATGTTTTTTTTGGGGGGGGGCAGGCAGGGAGTAAAAAAAGAAGAAAAAAAAAGCAGCCTTTTTATGCCTTATGCTTCAGTAAAAGTAGTGCCCTGTATACACAGGATTTCCATTTGTTTTACCATTATGCTCAATACTATTTTTTGGTTTGTAAAAGGTAAGCTAAGTGAGAAGCATTTAATTCTCTGGTACTTCAAGATATATGAAAATACACTTCCAAGGAAAGAAAACAAAATGTTTACCTCACCTTTTTTACACTCTGAGTAAGAAATAGTCCTGTAAGAGAAGCACACTTGCAAATACCCTTCATGCCTTACTCAGTTGTGCCTGTGCATGATATTGCTTTGTACCAAGAGTAAAAAGAAATTCAAATCTCTGAGCAGATTGAAAATTATCCTTCTATATTCCAGCTTGTTTTCAGCCATAAAATACATAGCAAGCAAAACTTCTTGGAGAAGTACATTATGTGCATATGTGGCTGAGACCATCAAGGTAGCATGTTGTGTGCACAAGTCCTAATACACATTTGGTATTGACTGACAGATACTCCTTATTATATTTCTCTCTTGGGTGTAGGCCAGATTGCCAACTCCAGAGATTTGTTGTCTGCAGTAATATGTGTCTGGGCTGACAGAGTGAGTCACTTGTCCCAGCAGACAGTGGGAAGAAGTAGATGCTTCCAGTGAGCAATTAACAGGACCTGTCCTGTTTGTGATGCTGCGTGCTGAGCAGAGAGCCTACTAGAACCAGCCAGCAGGAAAGGCAGGTGTATCAGACACTGCGTGTCCAAGGAGGTGTTTAAATTTACTTATGGATTCATAGGGGCCCCTCTATACACCCTGAGTGTCGTGCCAGTTTCCCAGGGAAATTGTCAGGAATGACTTGGCTGGATTCCAGCAGAACCTCCTTCTGCACAGCAAATCAATATATTGGGGGTTAGTCCCAGAAGGAGAAAACATAGATACTAACTTTTAGAAATGTAGGCATGGTTTTCAAAAATTGTATTTAAAGAATAGCTAGACTCCTGTGCATAGAGTCATCCCCTTCTAAAGAAGTCCAGAATTCTTACCTCCTGGCCTTCAGCAAGGTTGTTCATAGTGTTCCTCAGATACTTCCCAATGGTTCGGGTACAAATAATTTATAGGATGGTCTCAGTAAAAATACAGCATGCAAGCAAAATATAATGAAGAATTGCAACTTCAATTATGAAACACATAAATGGTATTCACATAATGATTGGAAGATTTTTATACTTATATGTATTTCTTCATTTAAAAAAATAACCTATGGCATATGCATCAGCAAGCTGATACCCTGAGGCAGCGCTACTGGTGAAATGTACATTTGCTTAAGGGGGAACAGAGGAACTTGACTCTGTATGAGTTTTAAAATATGTTAATATCTCATAGAGAATTAGAAAGTTTATTTCAAGACTTTACAGACAAGCTATAGCAATGTCATGCATTTGCAAACAGTCAGCTTGTCATGTGTTAGAGGATCTAGCTCAATTGACTTCAGTGACTTAATTGGATTTTTAAAACTGTGATAGTAAGTGACTTTTGGTCCATTAGATGAAATGCACCTTGGGATAATTCTGCAAGACAGATATCCTTTATGTTACTATGACTATTGATTTTTTTCTCACTAGAGAAAAGATTTCGTCTCAGTTAAAATTCACTCTTTCTATCAAATTAAGGAAATTAGTTTGTTATAGGTCCTCGTAACTCATGGTAACCTCAAGGAATCAAGCATCACAGTTCAGAAAATAAAAATACCATGCAATGAATAGTGAAAGCTCCTTATCTTCATTGGCAATCTCTATTGTAAAATTTATGTCTCTTATCATTTATAATTTCTAGAGTGGAAGCATGTAGAAACCTTGGCTGGCATCAGGAACCCATTGTAGTGGATGTTGTTCAGACAAAGTCACTATTCTGAAATAGCTGTACTGGTTTCAACAGTTACCATCTTGTAAAATGTTCTCTGCTGCAGAAGTTGAAGTAAACCTGTTTTACTTTGATTTGAACCCCAGCTCCAACCTCTCCACTGGGAGGGCTGTAACACACAGAAGGAATTCGGGAATATGTACTGAAGGCTGGATGAGAGGATGCTCTTAGCACCCTCTCTGTTGCTTTGCAGTCTTTTCTTTTTAAGAACACAGAGTATTTACATGGTAAAACACAGTGGGTACTTTGGTCTCGTTGTTCCCTGATGTGATTATCTGTTTGCCTCGTATTTGTATTAAAGAATGTCAAATTTCTCTAGATAAGTACTTGACATACTACTTTCACATGCTGTGTTGTCCATACTGATGGAAGAGGGTCTCTGTGATAGAGGTGGAATACCTTCTGGAGCAGTTTAAATACCTTTTACCTCCAAGTTCCTAGACATGAACTTGGGTCATTTCTGTGTGGAGCTGAGGGTGTTGTGGTAGTGACACTTCTGACTACGATGTCTGTGGGAAGCATCAAGTGGAGAGCTGTATGTCAGCTGTCACTACTCACCTGTGAGCAGAACCTTATCCATTTGAACACCTACCTGGTACATATTGCTACCAAGTGGTTAGCATACTACCCATGGTTGGGTACGTGTTTATAATACCAAAACTTTTGAGTTGCAGAAATCACAACAAAACTTCTGGAAGCTGAGTGAAAGGCTTTGCTAAAACAATTGCCTTTTGGATTAAGCAGGTGCCTCTTACTGGAATTGTAATTCCACCAGTAAAAGTAGATAGCATCTTATATGTGCCTTTACACCAAAAACAATAAATCAAAATCTGATTTATGTGTATGGTAATACTTTCCTTTGACTGTGTATGAATTTGTCACTTTAAGCTCAGAAAGAAGGTGATAAAAGTGCAATCATGACCCTGCTTATGAGCAAAATATACCTCATTAAAATCAAAGATTTTTCTGCCAAAATTACACATTACATTGTTCAGATTGTTTACATATAGGTCTGTTTACTAATATGCTGGCATCCTATTAAATAAATCCTTGCTGTCAGAAAAGATATCTGGAAATTTTTGTATCAAACTTCAGTGTCAGCAGAACTTTCCTGCCACTGTGTACAAATTACACCTTTGCATATGTATTTGGATACAGCCAGTAATGGTTTACACTACCCTGGATCATGTATTTGTATTGGCAGGCTGATCTTTGTCCAGTAGTGATTTTGTGGTTTTTTCCTTATTGTCTTGAATTCCAGTGATGTTTACAGAATCATTCAGTCTATCTTAGTGCCTTTCAATTATGGTGTGTCAGAGACCTATAGTAACAGTTATCATGGAAATTGTAAATGTGGTATATGTTATCTGTGATTTCTCTCTCTTCTCCATAACTAAAGAAACAGAAAAGCAACTTATTAGTGGCAGCACTGCTTTGTAAAATTACAGTTTAACTCTGTGTGTAGTGGGAAATGAACTGTAACTATTGACTGTAAATTAAAAAACATAGAGAAATATATAATAAATAGGACACTTAATGGTTGTGTGAATCCTATGGTTCTATGATTAAGCTTTTCAAACAGTAGCCAAAACAGCATTGCACAAGATGATTCAGAGCAAAACAACTTGATGTAGTTATAAATACTACTGTGGTCATTAAAAAGCAAAACCAGTATTCAAAATTAAGTACAAGCACCTGCATATTCCTTTTTCTCAGTCATTATAGCTTGAGTGCATATATGCCTTGTACAATTCTGCTTAACACAACTCAGTGACCAGAATGCATGATTAATGTTGTTTGTTTTTCTGTGAGCTTTTAAACTGTTGATTTCCTTTAGTTATGTTATGTATGTCACCCTGCATGCATTTTCTAATGTTTTTGCCTCCCTGTAATTTCCTTATTGCAGTGCTGAGGGAAGATTGATGCTCTGTTTTGAAACCTAGAATGCTAGCAATAGATAATAGACTCTACTGAAGTGTATAATGAGCTTTTGTGTAACAGAAAGCTTGAATGCTCTGAATTGAATACCATTCCTACTGCATTGTGTCTGTTGTAACAACCCTGAATTGGTACCCACAGTACCCACAGTAGTCTCTTTCTGGAATATCCTGTAAGGTACCACTGTTGCCATAGACCACAGCACACTGACAAGACAACCTTTGCCATTCACCTTCCAGTGCCTGTTAAGCTTCATGAGACATCAGGTGGATTGACACCACCATGTTGGCTGGTCAGCTGTGACTCTTCTCTTTGAATTCAAACCGAGTTACACTTTTTCACAAGAGGAATTTTATTGTATGGCTTAGACAATGCTAGAAATATACTGGTCCCTTATGCAGGACAAATTTCATTCCAAATGTGACCAGAAATTGGCAAATTAATCTTCAGTATTTGTCACCTTACACGTCTGAGGTGCTGGGGAAGGAAGAAGCTTTCCTTGGAAGGAAGATGGTTTCCTTATAATCTCTTGTAAAGTAATGGGTTGTGGCAGGTGTCACACTTGTTCCTTTAAAAATGCCTTCATCCCCTCTCCTGCATAATTTACATGATCTGAGCAGAAAAGGTACATTAGTAGATGGATTCTTAACTTCAAATATTAAGGAAAATGCTTTACCAATAGCCACGAGTCCTCTGCTCTGAAGCAGCCAGAGTGTTTCCAACTAATAAGACACTTTAAAAACAGTTCAAGGAAAAATAAACAGGCATTGGTCATGAGTTGCAGCACCTGAAAAGGTGGAGGCTATTTAGATAAATACAAAGCAATGACCTGTGAAGAAAATGAACTACATTATTCAAAGTATAATTAGTAATCACACTAATCAAGTAGGCCTTGAACCAGAAATCTGCACAAGCTCTAAAGATGCCTCATTCCACATGAGGGCTACTAGGTAACGCTGACAGGGGAGTGGGTCTTGTCTCACATACAGGGGAATGTCTAAGCATAAAACTGCCAGTTTATGGTCTAAAAAGTGCAAATGTAAGGATTTGTGTAGAACAGAGAGGGTGAAGTCTTGCTCAGTTTGTGGGCTACGAGAGAAGGACTGGTCAGACTGCAGATGTCCTTTGGTTTGCTGCCTTACGTCACTTGATTGAACAGGGAACACCAGAGCAGAATATGCATTTGGGTCTTTATTAGAGGAGCTTCAGAAAGGTAACTTAAAATCTTGGAGAAAAGTCCAACTAGTGAACAAAGCAAGAGTCCTTTGGCAGAGGATGCAACAGTTACTACTAGAAATCCTCATATTTTCCAGAAGGAACTTAACTTGAAAGCTGTCTTAGGAAAAAATACCACTCTCTGAAAAAGAAGTGAGCATGTGCTTTTCCAATTGCATTTGTGTTGGTAATTTCCTGTTACAAAGATATATAGAAGATCACTGTTTATAATAAGAGGGTGCTCTTATTTTCATATCTGTATTCTGTGTAGGTTATAGAGGACAGAAAGGGGAAAGAGGCGAGCCTGGAATTGGACTGCCCGGTAACCCCGGACCACCTGGCCCTGCAGGTACAAGTCTCCAGATTTATTTCTGTTATTGTTATTTATGAACTAATGAACCTTTCTCCATTTTTCACATTGGTTTTACACCCCTGCCTTTCCTCCCAAGCTGAGTCATAGCATGAGGTCAGACCCACCTGCCTTCTTGTGGATGAGCTGGTGTGCAGCTGACTGTCAGTGATAAAATGCAGGACACTACGCGTGCTTTGCTGAGGATTCTACTAATTCTAACTTTGTTTTACCAGCTGCCGGCCTGCCAGGCCCACCAGGAGCACCAGGCTCACCCGGACCGCAGGGGCCACCTGGACCCAGTGGGAGATGCAATCCTGCAGATTGCTATTACCACATATCACAGACTCGGTCACACACCAGCAGAAAATAAAAACCCTCTCCCCCAGACACTTGGGTTCATAATCACTTTTCACTCCTCCTGATAAGTTAATTTAATTTTTTAAATATTTGGTGCATTTTTATTTTTTTTTTCCTCGACACTGCATGGTATATAGATAATTTGTAAGGCACAAAATTGAGCGTTTTTCTATGTTTTTTGCAGTGTCGTAATTATGAAATGATGATGTATATTTTCCGGAGTGCATTCCATGTGTTGTTTCTCATATTTATTTTGCTTAGAACAGAAAATAGGCACAAATAATTTTCATCACCTTCTTTCTTCAAACAAAAAATATTTTGTTATTACTTAAGACATTATGTATGCCCCAGTAAGTAAGCTGGCTTTATTTTTCTTGCTGGTGGTGAATTTTAAATCAAAAATATACATTTCTGAAGTTTCAAAGCATACTTGTTCGTGGCGAACGCAGGACCTGAGCCGGAGCACTGGGAACTCTGTTCAGACTAAACATTCATGTCCCTCGAGGAGGCTCTGGCACACCTTCTGAAAAGGGTCTTTGTTGTGCATCACAAAGGCTGCCCACCATTTCAGTCACGTCCAAGATGCTGAAGAAGGAGACGAAGATGTGTTTATGATCTCCCTAATCCCATCCAATGCTGAGCTTCACACTGACTGAAAAATCACCAGGTGTAGCCTCAGGAAATGTCTCTCCTGAGTGGATGTTGTCCCAGCTAGGGGGCTTGTATGTTCATTTAGTCATGGCTACATGCAGTCCAGATATTTAACTGCAAAGGGCTGGTGTTGATGTTCGTGACTGAGAACTGGCATGTATTCTGACCATCACATGGACTAAGTGTACCACTGTTGCCTGTAATCAAGCTACTCTGCCACTAGGTCTGCCTACAGCAAAGGTGACCCCCTTTAGAGCAGAGAGTGGTGGGTACGCAGTCCAAGATGGGAACTTCACAAGCCTCTGATCTTGGCAGTGGTACCGTTTTCCTCTTCCTCCTGCAATAATCACGTGCTGAAATAAGCTTGAGAAGAACATGGAAACTGTAGAATGTAAAATTCACAGGTCCTAGTAAATCACAAAAAAGTCACTTGAGTGCAAGAAAGATTTGGAAAAAAGTACAAAACCCTCCTTGAAAGGTGTAATACCAAGAGCACAACTGCAGACAGTTTTCAGGCAATGAGTACATCCTACAGGACCAGACAACGTCAGCCAGATAGAATGAAATGTACATCCTGTAGCGCTCAAAGAGCTGAGCAATAGAAAATCTGGAGAAAATTAATCACACAGAGGCTGGTTGTGAAAAGGAGGGAGGAGACATGGCCAAAGTTTCACTTCTGATTATTAGGAAACAGATCATCCTAGGTTAGTCCTGTGGAATTTTCTGCAGTGCAATAGAAAGTGAAGGTGCTATGGGAAGAACGAACACAGATAGCTATAACCCAAAACCTCAAAATACATCTGTAGTGCAAAGCCATACTGAGGGCTCTCACTCTGTCATTAGGAAGCCGGGCACTCTCCCACATCAGGCAGAAAAATGGTTTTGATGACTTTGTGCTTCAGCACTATGGAGCTGCCAGGGAAGCATTCTCACACTGGAAGTGCTGGCTTCCAGAGAAGCTGTTGTGAAACATGAATCTGGATGAATTCTTGATTTTGCTGAAAAACAGTTAAGGAATGACCAGTGTGAGTCTTTAAAAGCAGAAAAACACTGGCATTTGTTCTGAATAGAGTTCCTAACACTTGCATCCAGAGTGAGATGAAAGCAAGAGGTAAAAGACTTAACCCAGGCAGCTGGGGAGCTCAGGCACATATTATGAGGGGGAAAGCACACATCCCTGACATATTCATCAATTAGATGTTTGGATGAAAGAGGGTGCTTGCTACAAAGAGATGTTAAAGGAAACATAAGGATGAAAAGCTGAGAGTAAACAACCAGGACAGATGAGGGCAGCAGGAAAGAGGAGGATGCTACCTAAAGGAAGTGTAATACACCCTACAGCTGGGGACTCCCTGTGGGGTCAGGGTGGTTTGTATGTCCCTCACGAGGTTGGGAACAGATAGATCAAAGCCCACCAGCGAACTCCAATCCTCACACCTCCTTTTCTGCTCATCCCTCCCATCCCTTGGGAGGCAATAGCTGCCCCTTCTTTAGGCCAGCACATCCTCCGCTCTACGGGCAGTGGGTACCTGTCCCACCAGGGTGAAGGTGCAGGACAAGTGGTCCTACCTGTGCTTATTTCAACTCACCCCACTCCTCTTCCAGACCTCCTGTGCCCATGGAGTGTGTTTTGGTTTGCTCTGTGGAACTGATCATCTTTCCAGATCTGGTCCTTAGAGTGCCAAGGCTGTGAGAGCACTGGGAACTGGTGAGGCAGCTTGAAACCAAGCAATTGTCTGTCCTGAGGCACCTCCTGCAGTGTGGCCCCTGGGTCTGCCCAGCCCAGCAAGTACAGCCTTGCTCAGTGTCTGTACATGTACACCAGTGGAGGAACAGCCCTACATACTGGTTTCCATTCTCTGAAAGGAACTGCTGGTCAGGTATCTTGCATAAGCATTTTCCCTCTTTTTTTTTATTTTTGTTGTTACTTCTCTAGTAATTCCAATATGTGTAATAGTCTAAACATTTTTTACTTCATAAGTTAATTTTTGACTTCATTTTCTGTGATAATATTGAAAAGGGTGCTGTCTTGTGAATAATATTCATGCAACTTAGAGGTTCACGAGCAGCCCTATCTGGAAGGCTGTACATAGACTATTGTGCTGCATTAATGGTATCTGTATATTTTGGGGCCTTTAGGTAGCTGAAACCCAGCATCTGTCATCTGTCAGATGCAATTGCTGTATGTTAATTTACTTGAACTTATTGGAAAGCAAAACACTTTTTATATTTGAAAAAGTTTTATTTTTTCATCTATGTTTCCTACAGATGCCTTTTTCTTTGTATAGGCTCAAACATAAAGGTCTTTTTAAAATGCATTTGAATGCTTCCAGTTGATTTACAGGTAACTTTGGTAACTATCTTGTTGCATTATTTTTATTTTGCTAAAAGCCCACTTTAATTTTCTCATGTGAGAAAACGGGTATTTTTTTATATGGGCTATCTCGATATCTTTTTTAAGATGCCACGTTCTTCACTGAGGTGGAACAGTGTTAATCCCATCTTAACTTTACTTCACACTGGCTTGCTCGTACTCTGTATTTTTAGAATCAAAAATGGAATGTAGCTGGAAACATGTTTCTGCATGGTTTTCAGGTTTAGCCCTTGAAATTTCTTTGCAGTTTCGGACTGATGTTGTTGTAGTTTTTGGGGAGGGGTTGCTAATCTATTTTGCAATTTGCTTTATCAGTTTTGTATCTGTTTTGAGCAGTTCATGCTGCAGTAAGCACTACAAGGAACTAAACACAGGGATTATTTTTTCCAGTAACATGAGGTCTTTGATTTGGGCTTGTTTACGTGCAACAAGACTCAGAAGTGAAATAACTTTGACAAAATATTTTAAACCTTTCTTAAAAGCTCTCTAAGCTTTATCCTACTTCAGGGTCAGACTATTATATTTTATGGCAAGTTGCCCTGTCACCTTTTAAGAACATGTTGAGATTTTCTTGAAATTGCTATGTACAGAACTACTCAGTTTGCCTAAAGAAAGAAAAAACTTGGTAAGAGAGAAACTTTACCAGAGCTGCAGTAGACCTCGTGTTGTCCACATGGTGGAGTCTAAAACATCCTTTCAGTACAAAGGGTACAGCCCAGGCCTAACTTGCCCAGCAGTGCAAGAGCTGACCCAGTGATGCGTATTCTCACAGCATAAGTCAGTGTTTCTCATTTTGTTCTTGAGCCTGACTTTTTTTTTTTTTTTAAATCTATTTAGTTTTGCATGGCAGTATTTGCAGAAATACTGCCTTTCTTGGATAATTATTGTTATGTAATATTGCTTAGACTTTATTTGTGTTTATTATTATATTTTGTTTTGTGTATGTTAAAAAGAATATGTATTAGTGGGACATCCCACTTTCAGGCATCATTTATGTCCCCTAAAATGACGTTTGTCTCCAGGGGAAGAGGGGCTTACCTATGGTTAATAAAAATTACAACAGCATCCTTCATACAAGCTGTAGGAACAGCAGTGCAGCCTGATAATATTTGGAAAACCAATATTCTTGTCTTAAACTGGACTTGGTTGCAATCCTAAAAGAGCACTATGATACAGGAACAGGATTGATTGTATCGTCCATCCTTTGTTTTATGATTTTGGGTTATGATAGATGTTAGATATGCACATCTTTGTTAAATAATTGTATTTTTAAAATTAATGGAAAATCACACAAAATATCTTGGAGCTTCTTCTTTTTCACAAGGATGAAATACTATTTTTCATGTCAGTGTTCACTCAGTTTTTTTCTTCTTTTTCTGAAATGTTTACATAAAATTCTTGTAAAAATCCCACTGGCTAAACTAGCATTTTTTAAACTTGTTTCTCCAAATATACTACTTAAAACCAGTCCCTAACATTGCATTTTATGAATGCAGTAGAATTGCTGCTCTAATGTGACATGTTAGAATAAGAAAAGTATCTCAGAAATCAAAACATTGTTGGTTTAGTGTGGGCTTTTATTGAGTTTTTGTTAGTTTCTGGACGTACCAAATCATACAAATTTTCTCTGAAATCTGATATGTCCACTACAACTAGATTGTATTGGAAGGATGTTGAAATCCACCTCTAAACACACAGGCAGGTGTAGGCCATAGAGAACAAGTTTAACCCTGACCTTGTCATCGTTGGTGTTTAAGTGGAAAACTTTAGCTTCACAATACCTTAATGAAATGTTGTTTTCAAATATTAATTGCTAAAAAACATTATCGATTCTAGACCAAAATAAATTTGTAGCTAGAAAGATTGGAGTCTACATGTCTTTTAGTTTTCTTTCTGAGTCTTCGGTTCTATAAACACAAATGCATTTAATTATTTACTGCAGTTTTAATGTAAATATATTGTCTCCAGTCAGTATGTTTGAAGGATTCTCAATTACATACCTTGGTTTTTTGTATTCTTTCATTTCTGAATGATATGCAGCTGTCACTGAATGAATCATAGTACATGCCGACTGGTTGCTTCCTTCCTTCCTTCTATTTTTGGTTTGCAACATTTAGGGTTCTGTTCAGTGGAAATGTATTAAGTGGATGGAAAATTGCTTTTGATATTATGATGTGGCCATTTACATCTGAAACAGTATTCCAGATGGAAATGGAAATGTTTCACATACTTTCTCTTTGTGCCTCTGTCAGAAATGTTAACTTTTCCTTCTGTGTCAAATCAGGTACCTTTTTTGCACTCTTGTGCAAGATTTGAAATTGGTAAGTACTTAGATTAACCAATACATCCCATAATGACTTACAATGGGCCTGAGGATTTATTCTTCAGTTCTGTATTTTAAGTTAAAACTTGTGAGTCACCTTGAAGGCAGAAAATCTGTCAGAATCTTAAGCTGTCCACTTATATAGATTCTGCATTGAATTGACCCTCAGTGTTGAATTTGATTGTAATAATTCTTATTTGTTTTTTACATATTAATGTTTTTGCTTCTACATGAGTTTCCTTCCATAGTGGAATTTTATGCATTTTTCAGATTATATTTTCTAAAGCACTTCACATTTGTATGTAAATGTTGGGGTTTTTGCTTCTTTTGATTCATATGTGTATGTATTACATATGGAAAACAATATTTTCATTCTGTTATCAGATGGGTTTCTTTCTTTTCAACAGTTTTACACACTTTATAGTCAAAATAAAAGTTTGCTGGTGAAACTACAGTTTGTCATTACCACTAGTTTTTTATTTGTTGCACTATGTAAGTAGTACTTTTGAGGATTATGCCCTAAATCAGTAAAATCTGACCTAATTCTAAAACAGCTTTATGTGTGCCCAAGCCACTCACCTCATGTGGAATCTTCTGGATATGTTCCTGCAGAATTAAATTCTTTGCACTTATCTATTTTGGCAACTTCTTGTAGTATTAATGCAGGGGATGTTGGCTATGAGTTTGGCCAAACTGGGGGTGCATGAAAACCGTTCTGTCCCAAGCTTTGCCTTGAGTCTCGGGGCAGGATGGCATGTTTCTTTATGCCTGTTTTCTTCCCCCATCTTTTCCCTGAAATCTCACCCAGTGCTGCTTTTGTGGAACTAAATAGAGCACAGTAGCCAGGTGTAGATAAGACTTGTAAAGATTTGACCTCTTTTATATTTATTGTCTAAAATACTGGGCTATGCAAGGGACAGAAAGACATTGATGCCTTAGGGGTTTTAGGATTTTTAGCTTTTTGTAGATTTTAATGTAGCTGTCACACTTGAGAATAGTAAACACTCACCAAACCCTATTCCCCTATTTCATATTGGATTTCTGAAATTCTTTAGGCTTGTTAAAGCTCCTTTCAAAGTAGGACTATAGTAAACACATTCTGTTTAAGAACAGTCACACCCCAGGCCTGAACAACAAGATACCATCACAGTCAGAGCAACATTCAAGCCAGGAACTTTGGAGAAGCTCCAAAGACAGTACGTGACGTGAAGAAGAGGAAGGTGAGGAAGAAAGGTGTCTTGGAACCCCCGACTCAATTCCAGAGAGGCATGCCAGGGGGCACATATGGGGGCAGGTAGTTCTCAGATCAGACAATAAATTGTGGAAGCCCTGGACACAGTGCATGCACCATTTCATACTCTTTGCACCAGAAGGCATTCATTAGAGACCTACTCTATAGGTTATCTCTGCTAAACTTGCCTGGAGTTTTTTTTGCTCCCAATCTTTAGGCAACAGCATTATCAGAATTAATCCCATTTAACTAATTCTAAAAAGTCTCAAGTATACTTTATTTTAGTAGGCAGCTGAATCAGACATTTTTGTCTCAAGTGATCTCTGTTCAGGCACTTTCTGTCAACACATGAGGTGCCAGAAAAATGGCTTCTAGATGCAGCCAGAGCATCAGGTTTGGTCTGAGGAAGGTTTAACTACTCATTTTTTAATAATTCCTTTTGCTGTATATATTATACCAGTACCTTTACCCTTATGTTACATGCAAAATGCAGAGCTCCATGGATTGTGTTCTTTCTCTCTGTTGTCACATGGCAAACAAGTCAACTGTCTGGAACATAACCAGATAGCTAAGGGCTAGGAAAAAAAATCAGTGCTTAAAGCAAATGTGCCAAAGTTTATATTTGAAAATTTGGATGGCTAATAATGAAATTAAAGGAAACATCGTAGGATGGTTTCATTGTTATCTTGGAGAGAAAATAAACTTCAGAGAGGTAAAATCAAAACCACAAATAGTTTAATTTATACAGAGAGCAACAGAATATCTACATTGCACATTTTCCTCTAAAAACTGAGTATCTTCAAAAAAGGCAACTTGGGACATCTAATTGCTGCCTTCTGGTTGTTCTGTTAATCAGTACTGAATGTA